ATTTCATGGGTCCGACCAACCAACATTACAGCTCAGGAGGTGGACATGACTTCTCCATCGACCCCAATATCAATCAATGTTGACCCAATCTGGCATAACCCCAGCCTGGGATTTTTAACTGCGTCCAATAACCGTTCATCATGAATGGCGCCTCACGATCTCTCGGACCACTCACCCCGAAGCCAAGTTGGGTATGATGGGAGCCGACATCTCACGGGCCACTCCGGGCTCCCATTTGCGCTGTCACGCTGGCATTATGTACAGTACACCAGCCCTTGCGTGATGCGATGATGCTAGCCCGCGGGCCGCCTTAGGCTCACTTTCGTTTGTCATCAGCTCGTTAATGGTGGCACGAGCAGTGCGCTTCATCCCGGAACATCGGGGTGGGGAGATGGGCAACGCTCTAGGACGGACGCGTATCTGAGGTAGCAATACTCGGTACGTAAACCTTTAAGCTCGAGCCGAGCTGATGTTATCTATGATGCTCTAATTAGGAGACGTCGGCAATCTGACTCTTGATCGCATGAGTTGGGGAATTGTAGCAAAGAAACTTGCACCAACCGTTTCATCGTTGTTCCAGTCTTCAACATAAAAGGTTGCCGATCATTGATCCACAACGCGATTCATCTACTGTATAGCAATGATGTACCAGCTTATTCTTGTCTCTTTGCTTTTGACACCATGAACATTAGATAACCTAGATAACTTAGGGAAAATCTTGGTATTGTTGATTATGCTTCAGTCACTGGGCTGATTGAGTATTCTGGAGATAGAGCTATCGGTTCTCTCATGTGTCAAATCCAAAAGCTGTGAAGATATAACATCTAATAATGACACTATCAAGATCGCACATTGTTGTCGCCATGTCGCCAACCACATATCATTTACATGCTAACAAGCATGATTCGCTGCCTTGTTCTCTAAATTGATTGTCAATTTCACGTAGTAATAGAGTAAGGCTGCTTTTGTTCATTCTAACTCCTAGGGCAATAGACTAAAATTTGTGATAATTTGTCAGAGGCTGTCAACTCACGAACCACAACATGACACCTATCCCAACACTCAAAGCTGTTAATGTTTCTCAAAATTAAAACGCTTTTTAAGACTTGTCAACTTTCTGAGCGCTAACAGGTCGCCTGACAAGAAACCCCGGGTTTTTCGCAATGGCCTTTCTCCACAGCGGCTGATACAACTGGCTGGGGATTGTATTGGCTCGCATCACCTCCGCCTGCAACTATTTCCTCAGGTATGCAGGTCCCTCCCTATGTAAGCGGCCCTGATTAGCCATCTCCTTGTCCAAACTCTTGGACCTTATCTCAGGGAATCTTTATTGGTCGTGGTACATGCAGACGTCGAGTTCCATTCACTCATGGAAATCTCAAGATCAACGTAATGGATTGCGGAATAGATAGGTAACCTGCAGGCTATGATCTGGAGTCCGGGGAAGATCCCTACACATGGAGATGGCCTATCTGTGAACTGTCTGGTTGAATATACACATGGTGTCACGAATTTCTTTGACAAACGTCTTGTTCAACACTTATGGAGTTCCAGCTGGAAGGATCGCCCATGTCGTCCCACGAAAGATGACATTCTGTCCTATGCATGAACTGGTAACACACAACACCATGCCGAGTCTCTTCCCACCGAGCCTGATCGATTGCTCCTCGTGGGGCTGGAATTACGACAACATGCACGGCCATCGGCCAATAGATTCAACAATGACGGAGTACGACGTATCCCGTTCTCGACCGAGACGCCAACGTCGGTGATCCTTTTGGCAAGTTGCAGTAGCCTTTCATCCTTGAGTCTCCAGATGTTGGGTCTGAGCAGCCTGTTCGGTGAGCCAGGTATGGAAAGACAGGTCCCTGGAACTGCACTTCACGAACTAGCATTCATCGCAACCCAATAGCAGAAGACATCGAGATATTTGGAGACGATCATGAGCCTAACAAATCTCCGATTTGAAACCATAGTCATCAGCCAAAGTGACACTTTATCCACATGATTTGAGGGTCCTGCGTGTTGACAACATGAATCGATCGGTAGTTACAGCGCTGTATCCCATGCGGCCGGATCACAAAGTGGAGTGATGGGGTTTTCTAGATCTCCGGTTCCAAGGCGATCGCTGAGGCTAAGACGGTGCCGCGCTTTGCGATGTACCAGTGACGAGTGATTGATTGATTTGACTCACTAGCAGTCAAGCTTTACCGCGTGGGGGTCCTTTTTAGTCTGGACGAGGTCCCACATAGAATGGGCAGATGGGAGTCTCGTGACGAACTTTGGGCTCAATGACCTGTACAACCGCTTCACATGTTGATGTCGTCGTTCCAAGATTTACCAAGCGCTATAAGGCTGTTTAGCTTATGAATTCTAAGTGCTTCGGAGAGTCTCCATTGAACCTAGATCCTTGAGAGTTGGTTGTTGTATCATGAAAGAAGGGAGAGTCTTAGTACAGTCGACAATGAGCATTCATGCGCACATGATCAGTTGACGATGACGGGTTATATAGCGACATCGGTCTAGCACTATAATGATGTAGTAAAAGTCTCAAACACATATCTAAACCTATACCTATGGCTCGAGTGTCTAGAAACGTCTCTTGTAAGTAGCTACACCCAATATCAACACTCTTTTATATTGACCTTACGTTGGACCCTTCTGTACCTCCTCCTCGATTTCGGAATTTTTCAATGAGGGGCACCGTTGAGAGTTTGGAGCTCCATAACAATGCAGGCCCTGGACTAACGAGTAGCAGTAAAGGCAAAAAGGCAAATGGATGATCTGCCGTCCAGAACGTTTGGAAGGGTTCCCAGGTGACTTATTTCCGCAACTCATGACTTGATCTCTTTCTCTTTCTGCTGATGCTAAGGTCTTATACCGACCTAAGGTTAGTATTTAATTAGTTCCTGTCTAGGAACCTTAGGAGTCAGTTCTATGCTTCGGGGCTGGCCAGAACAGAACATTGAATAGCCAGTCCGGAAAAGGGACGGCCAAAGTTCAGATTTTCATTTCTTTATTTTTCCTTTTTTTTAATGATCAGGAATCCAATTGCTATACTGACCTGAATGAACTGGGCCAGTGGTTCGGGCAAACGTCGGGTTCGGGCTGCTACAGAAATTACCTTCAAATATCTTCTTCCTCACAACTCCACCATTTCGAGTCGCAACGGTGGAAAAATATATTTTCTATAATCGCAAAACAAATCTTGACACTTTCTAGTATAGAAAAGTGCAAAAAAAATGCAAGTAGACACTGCTACCTTTTGAAACGCTGTACATAGCAGTCAGACGCCTTCCATTAGGCCAAGGGGCCTATCCACTTTTAATATAAGCTAGCAACATGATTCAATCTAGGTAAGGTATACTAAAATTAGTGTCCAAAAGTCTCTAGACGCTGCCCCGCCAACGTATAACCTACCAGATTAAATCAGACTAACTGCTAACTGCAAATATAGCTAAAACTTTAATAATTCTTATTAGAAATAGATAGAATTTTATCTATATTATATATAAAGTGCCAAAGAAACTATAAATTTATAAATATAGTTAAGGCTCTTATTATATAAGCTATAAAGAGCAGGAAGTTATATTAAGCTATTACTTATAAGGCAAGATATTTGCCTTAAATAATTATAAATATTATTTAATACTAAAAAACTCTATAAACTTTAAATAATAAACTAAGATCTAGATATCCTTAAAAACTTATAATTTAATAGATTTAATATATATTAATTTTATTAAAATATAATTAATATATTATATATAAAAAGCTTATTAACTTTTTAAGTAATTATATCTTATAAATAATAATATATTAAGTTATATAACTTTATTATAGTTATAAATAAAAGGCTATATAAAGGATATTACTATCTAAAGAAACTACTTATTAATAACTTTTATAGTATTAAGCTTAAAAAGAAGATTTAAATAAATTATTAAAGGTTTATTAATTTAAAGTTTATAAATAGATATTACTTAAGAATCTTTTACTTAATTAATTATACCTTTAAAGTATTTTTAATAATAAATTATTAATTTAATTATAACCTAATTATAAATAAGGTGAGGTATTTTATAAGCCTTATAAGAAGTTTATAAAGAAATTAGTTAATATAATAATTTATAAAAAGTTATAATTATTTATTATAGTTTAAGGAGTAATTTAGAGACGTAATAAATATAATATTATTATTATAATTTATAATTAAATTATATAAAAAAAAAGATATACTTTTTTAAGTTATTAATAGGCTTTAAAAGAAGGTTTACTTCTTATTTAAACTAGTTTCTATTATTTTTAATAAGATAATACTTATATATATATATTAAAGTTTATAATAAACTAGCTATTAAAATATAATATATCTTAAATTAACTAGCTTACTTATAGTCTTAATTTAAACCTAATTAAGTATATTTAAAAGTAATTAAAATTAAATATTAAAAAGATATTCCCTTAATTAGATCTCTTAAAAAATAATAAATCTAATTATATAAAGTTAATAAAATATATTAAGTTAATATAGGTAATAATTATATTAAAGTAAATTAACTATCTAATTAACTTACTTCTCTATTAACTTAATACCTATATTTATATAAGGGGATAGTATATAAAATATTAAATAGAAAAATCAGGGCTTTAAAATAATATAACTTTTATTATTATTAGATTTTATTTAATTTAATTCTATATAAGTAAAGTTATTTCTGTTAAATGGATTAAGTTGCTACAGGGTAGGGTGTCCAGAGACTATTGGAGCATAATTTTACGTATACTATGTACTTGAGCAATACCTGACGCACCGAAAAATAAGTGATCACGCACCGACTCCGGCCAACTCTCCCCTCTCATTTCCTTCCACAAATCGTTGATCATTTCACTATTATTCTATTATTATGTGATCGAACTTCTTCTTCCATCAGCCTCCCAGTTCTCTGCGACAACTTGATTTAACGACCTCGACACAATTTCCCTTTCAACAGCCCATCATGCCTCCCGCAAAATCATCCCGCAATCACGACGACAAGGCGGACACACCCAATTCCAAGGAAAAGGGTGGGAATGGCCATACCTCAACGAAGATGCGTCGTAACGCCAGCCAACAGAACCATTCTCACCTTCGCGAGGTCCAAAATGCTACCGCTGCTGCTCCCCCCCAGCCGCCAGCTGAGCCTTCTCCTCCTAGTGTTCGTCAAACCCCTCCGCTCCCCCATGATCCACGGTCGCGCCCTCGATAGATGGTTGAAAGACTTCGAACATACAATGACTACTAGAGAATACCTAAGACAAAGTAATGTCTAAAGTATCCGCCTTGTTCTGCGGTTCTGTAGCTCTCCTTCATAAAGCCAACCCGAAGGCTCGATTATTTATCGAACCACTTTGTGCAACACTCCAGACCATGGTCGCTTTGATTCTGCATCAAGACGCTAACTCGTTTTCTCCCAGCTGCACTGGGCCTCCTTCGACCGAGATGTCCTCCATGCCTACCGTCGCGAGCATCGCCTGAACACACCGAGCTCCTTCTCTAGCCCATACTGCCAATGGATTCTATCGCAGCCGAACGGCATCGGCATCCACTCTCCCACGATGGTCCGACGCCGACAGGCTCGTCGCCAGAGCAAAGACCAGCTCGCACTCGCCGTGCGTAAACATTTTAATGGAATGGGCGTGCAGGAGAACGACGTAATCGTCGACTTTATTTACAAGATTCGTCACGATCCCAGTCGCATCTCCAAACCATACGCGGGAGGCAAGACCCCGACTTTTACAAAATAAGGGCGTTCATAAGCGATGGATTTTACGCAAGGGATGGTTACATTGGTATGGAGTTTTGGCGTTTTAACGCAAGCGTTACAGCACTTTTGCTTCCAGCGACCTGCGAATTTTCTTTTTACAAACGGCTACAAAGACAGACGGGCATGATTGCATTGCGCATACGAGGAGACTCACGACATAGACTTGAATGTCTCGCGCGGATTCAAATTACGTCATAAGGATACCACTTCAAGCAGGGCAGGATATGGGCTGCTTTAAACTATGTTTCAGGGTACTTTGATACCCAAAGGTTCATGAAGGATTTAAGGACTATGCGTTCTGGCATCTTAGGTAGAGAATGCGAATACTATGGCAGTATTATTCTCTTATATTTGTTGCATTGTTTTGTGAACTTCGATTTTTTAAAGTTTATCGGTCATTAAAAATTGGATATTGGCGTTGCCTGGGGAGTTATCATGATAAGCCAGCAATTGGTCATTAGCTCAGAATAAGCGCCCTACTCAATAAAGGGGACGACCAAGGACACAATCACTTGTTCAAAGTCAATTCCTGCACAGAATATGACAAATGATCTGGCTGATTTACCACTCATGATCTGTCAAGAATCACGGCATTCTATAGCCTGTTCTCGGCTTCTCATGCAGGATACTTTGAATGTTCGGCTAGTCGGGGTAGTTTCGGCATAAGACAACAACTGATGTATTTGCGATGATATTCGAGTATTGGGTTTCTTCTCAATTGTTGGCTATAAATGACATAAAGAAATGTTTCTAGACTTAAGAACTATATATTCTGACTATCTTAGTAGTTTCTTACCTAAAATCATCATAAAGTTATTTCCTGACCTGCTTTTCCGTCGACTTTCTGTTCCTGAATACATATTGGCCAATAAGCTTCTCTGTATAGCGCAGCCGAAGCCGGCCGTTATGACGAAGCTGGATGCCTGAGGCTTGTCCATGGAAAAGTTCGAGATAGGTCTCGAAAAAAAGAGAAGCACGAGCTATTCCGCTAGTTGCTCGTGACGTTTCACTCTTTCTTCGTTCAACTTTTGCATTTCTCTGTAATAATTTTTTTTTTAGAGTCAAATGAATCCTTACAGTTCAAGATGAATCCTAGTTTGATATCAAAGGCCGCCGCTCCCGCGCGTGTCCTGGCGCAAAATGCACCCAAGGTTCAGTGTTTAAGGAAAGGTGCCCAGCTTCATACTGCGGCATGGCGGGCCGGTTCTCAAAACCGATCTTCTTTGAGGAAGAGGACTCGAGCTCCTTCAGCGAAGCGGGTGAGTAGAACAATACCAATTGATAAAGCTTTACATTTCTGATATGTGATAGTTGTTCCATGCTACAAATGCCGTCCAGCAGAAGGACCCTTACCAAGCTCTTGGTGTTAGTAAGAGCGCATCGGCTGGCGAGATTAAAAAGGCATACTACGGCCTAGCGAAGAAGTTCCATCCCGATACGAATAAGGACCCCCAGGCCAAGGATAAGTTCGCCGATATTCAATCCGCATACGAGATTCTATCCGACCCGAAGAAGCGCGAGCAGTATGACCAATTCGGCGCCGCTGGCTTCGATCCCAGCGGAGGAGGTGCCCCAGGTGGTGGTGGTGGTTTCGGTGGAGGGCATCCATTCTCTGGCTTCGGAGGATTTGGTGCACAAGGAGGGTTCGGCGGCTTTGGTGGACAGGGAGGTTTCGGTGGTGGCGTCAACTTCGAGGATATCTTTTCAGCATTTACCGGACAACAAGGCTTCGGCCGCCGTGGACGACAACAGGCTCATCAGCAGGAGATCCTGGTCGGTGATAATGTCGAAGTTCAAGCTACCATCAGCTTTATGGAGGCGGCGAAAGGCACAAGCAAGACGCTTTCGCTCACACCACTCAGCACGTGCGGCACATGCAAGGGTAACGGCCTGAAGGCCGGCACATCGAGAAGTGCCTGCAGTGCTTGTGATGGAACGGGAACCCGAGTACACTTCATGCAGGGTGGCTTCCAAATGGCATCTACTTGCGGAACTTGTGAGGGTACCGGTACGGTTATTCCTAAGGGATCTGAGTGCAAGACATGCTCAGGAGATGGTGTTGTGAGGGAGAGAAAGTCAATCACGGTGGATATCCCTGCTGGTATCGAGGATGGCATGCGACTTCGAGTTGACGGTGCTGGTGACGCACCTGCTACTGGCCGATCTTCCGACCCCAGTGCTCGCGGCCAGAACGGAGATCTATACGTCTTTATCCGAGTTGCTAAGGACCCCAAGTTCCGACGAGACGGCTCCAATATTCTTTACACTGCCAATATTCCTCTTACAACTGCCTTGCTGGGTGGCCATGCAGAGATCCCTACTCTGGATGGAACAGTCAATGTCAAGGTTGCCACTGGCACTAATACTGGTGACAAGATCACACTTCCTGGTATGGGAATGAAGCGCCTCGGTTCTCGACGTGGTGTCAACGGTGATCTCCGGGTCGAATACCGAGTCACCATGCCCAAGTATTTGACCGCCAACCAGCGAACTATTGTTGAGTTGCTTGCCGACGAAATGGGTGATAAAACCGCCAAGCGTGTGATGGGCGTCGGTTCTTCAAGGTAAGGCACTGATTGCAGCCTGAACGGTTTGAGCAATTAACACTGACCATCCAAGGGACCCAAATGACCCTGAATCGCACAAGAATGAGGGCTTCCTCAAATCGCTTTGGCATACACTGACAAATAATCCCGCTCACCAAAAGACGAACGAAGATTCAAACAAGAATGATGACTCGAACAAGAAGTCCGATGATAAGGATAAGAAATAAATAACTTCCGACTGATGATGATATGTCTCATATATTGGGGGTATTATTAAAATTAGAACGGGAGAAGCGCATTTGTTGGTGTTCAAAAGGTTCATATTTTTTGTATGGCGTCGGTGGAGGGTTATGATAGCCCAACTACTCATGTAGATCTGCCAACTACATCAGATCTGTTGTATACTAATCCTGTAGTATAGAAGAGGAGCTGGGAAGCTCCAACGAGGCCACTCTCCTCACTGAATTGTAGTTCAAGTCACTTAAAGGTGTACGTTGGATATGAATGATACTACGAATACATCACGCGGTCTACGTCAACGATACAACATCATGTTCATGATGAACTTACCATGCTGAAAACCGACGTTTCCAGAGTCGAGCGAGGAATGAAACCTTGGAGCACCTTGTCTGCCTTGATTAGAGTCCAAACCGTTCATCATAATTATTTAACTCACATACCAGCGCGACATTGTGTAGTGTAGCCGTGTCCCTTCGTGCTGTCTTCCCAATAAACTCCATCGCGAAATACCAAGGTCTCTAGCCGATGGGCTTGAGCTTCTTCTTCTTTTTCTTCTCGCCACCTGATCCCTTCTGGAACTGTCGCCAGCTGCTGATCCGCTCATCCCGGGTGGCCTCCCAGTCCTGTTCATGCTGCCGTTTGCGCTTACGCTCTTCCACCTCGGCATCAGTACGTCGTTGTTCACGACCTTCTTCCTGGAGCTGGGCTTTCATCTGGCGACGCCGGCGATGCTCGTTATCAATGAGAACATCTCGGGCCTTTGCGCGCCACATTTTCCGGAACTCTTCCGTCTTGAGCTCTTCGCTGTCGACAGTCCATTTGTTTTCGCGGATAAGCAGCATTCGTGCGTCCGCGATAGCTTCATCTAGTCGTGCACGGTGCTTCTCGTCCATGAGCTCTGTCTGGGCCTTCTTTAGCCGATCGAAGGCATCTGGTGCCAGTGGGTTCTTTGTTTTATCGGGATGGATGAGTAGAGACTTCTTGCGGTAAGTAACCTTAATGTCTGAGTCAGGAACACCAGGTTGGAGATCAAGAACGGCGTAGCTATGGGGAAGTTAGATCTCAATTTAGAGAAATGATGGGGGTTTCACGTACGCATCCAGGCGAAATGCCTTCAAGATGCGGTCAATCTCAGCATCCTAGAGGCAGAGTCAGCGAGAGTCATAATGACTGATATAGTTGTCGCAAACAACTAACCTTATCAAATTCTTTGGCTTCAAGCTCAAGAACATCGAGCGCGTCTTTATCTTCTTTCGAATCTTTGCTGGACATTCTGGGTGATTGATCACTTTCTAGAAGTTGAAGTGATGAAGAACCAACAAGGTTGAAGGTTAGGTATGCGATAGCATGTAGCAGCGTTGGAACTGAGTGACCCACTTATATGCCCCGCGAGATAAGATAACAGAAAAAAATATTGGAAAGAGAGCTACTGAGCCTGTTGGACTATCTGAATTCTACATACATATTGCTAATATCAACGGCGCGTCACAATGCCACAACGCGGCGTCTCACCGACCCCTTCAGATGGAGAGATTGATATTTTTGGGTCACTATACCCCGGCGACGGCGAAAACGAGAATGGCGGCAACGATGGCAGCGCGGACTTCGACTTCGACGGCTTGTTAAACGGCCCAGAGCCCGGCAACGATGACAACGATGAGGCCTTCATTGCCCTTCAACAGGCAGCTTCTTTTCGCAAAGCATCCAATCTGAAGGGCAGAACAGTCAAGAAGGGTGGAGGTTTCCAGGCAATGGGTAAGGATGGCAACATATGGGGTGAAGAGACTACTAATATCTTCCAGGTCTGAACAGCAACCTCTTAAAGGCCATCACACGGAAAGGTTTCTCGGTCCCAACTCCGATCCAACGTAAAGCCATTCCTTTGATTCTCGACAGAAAAGATTTGGTAGGCATGGCTAGGACAGGTTCCGGAAAGACAGCAGCCTTCGTTATTCCTATGATCGAGCGATTGCGCGCACATAGCGCCAGGTTCGGAACACGAGCGCTTATCCTTTCACCCTCTCGAGAACTTGCGATCCAGACTTTGAAGGTTGTGAAGGAATTCAGCAGAGGGACCGACTTGAAGTGTGTTTTACTTGTTGGTGGTGATAGTCTGGAGGAGCAGTTCGGGTCTATGGCTGCCAATCCCGATATTGTGATCGCAACACCTGGACGATTCCTTCACTTGAAGGTTGAAATGTCTTTGGACCTTTCTTCTATTAAATATGTGGTTTTCGATGAAGCTGATCGTCTGTTTGAAATGGGTTTTGCGGCACAACTGACAGAGATTCTTCATGCACTTCCCCCTTCAAGGCAAAGTTTGCTCTTCTCTGCGACATTACCTGCCTCTTTGGTTGAATTCGCGCGCGCCGGTCTACAAGATCCAAGTCTTGTGCGACTTGATGCCGAGACGAAGGTCTCTCCTGATCTAGAGAGTGCTTTCTTCTCTGTCAAAGGTGCCGAAAAGGAGGGGTCTTTGTTGCATATACTCCACGACGTTATCAAGATGCCAGTTGGAGCCCCAATGAACCCAGAGGATTCCGAAAAAGGGTCCAAGAAGCGAAAACGGGGTGCAGATGGTTCAAGCGGCAAACCCACAGAACATTCCACGATCATCTTTACAGCAACCAAGCATCACGTCGAGTACCTCGCCAACTTACTGATTTATGCCGGTTTCGCTGTTTCTTATGTCTACGGATCCCTTGATCAGACTGCGCGAAGAATCCAGGTCGAAGATTTTCGAAGAGGCAAGACAAACATTCTAGTCGTTACTGATGTTGCTGCACGTGGTATCGATATTCCAGTTCTTGCCAATGTCATCAACTTCGACTTCCCTCCTCAGCCCAAGGTTTTTGTTCATCGAGTTGGTCGTACTGCTCGAGCAGGCCAACGTGGTTGGAGTTACAGTCTTGTAAGAGATACTGATGCTCCTTATCTTCTTGACCTTCAGTTGTTCCTTGGTAAGAAGCTTGTTATTGGCCAGGAGACCAAGAACCCATCATTTGCTGATGATGTGGTTGTTGGCGCATTAAAACGAGATCCTGTGGAAGCTCAGGTAGAATGGTTCAACAAAGCTTTGTACGAAAGTGAGGACATCTCAGCGCTACGAGGAGTTGCTATCAAGGCAGAGAAGCTCTACTTGAGAACAAGGAACTCGGCAGCTAGTCAAAGTGCGAAGCGATCGAAAGAGCTGGTCGGAAGTGAGGGTTGGACACAACTTCATGCACTCTTTGGGGAAGATGTTGACGGAGCTGAACAAGCGCGAGCCAATATGTTGGCTAGAATCAGTGGTTTCAGACCTCAGGAGACTATCTTTGAGATTGGCGGTCGCCGAGACAAGGGAACGACTGAAGCTGCCGAAGTAATGAAGCAATTGCGAAAGAGAATTACGCCACGAAGACAAACGGAGAAGAAGGATGAGGACGAGTTCGACGGCATTGATGACGATGTGCCAGCTGGTGCCGAGGGAGACGCCGTGTCTGATGAAGATGAAGACCAGATGGAGGTCGACGAGGCCCCTGAGGAGTCGGATGATGGCTTGGAGGTCACCGTATCCAACACCAACTCAAAGAAGGGACAGACAGATTGGCGAGACTCAGAAGTGTTCATGTCTTACACGCCTCGAACATTCAACGCCGCCGAGGAACGTGGCTACGGCGTGTCATCTGGTGGCCAGGACTCTTCCAACTTTGTGGAGGCTGCTCGCGGCGTGACCATGGACCTTACAAATGATGAGAACGCCAAGAGCTTCGGTGAGCCAACTCGCTCAAAGATGCGTTGGGACAAGAAGTCCAAGAAGTATGTGTCCCGAGAGAACGACGACGACGGATCCAAGGGTGCCAAGATGATCCGTGGCGAGAGTGGTGTCAAGATTGCAGCCAGCTTCCAAAGTGGCCGCTTCGACAAGTGGAAGCGTGCCAACCGTCTCGGCAAACTCCCTCACGTCGGCGAGGCAGAGCGTCCTGGCGGTGGTGCGAACCATGTCGCCCACATTCCCTCTGGTGTCCGCTACAAGCACAAGCAAGAGAGGGCACCAAAGGAGGCAGACAAGTACCGCGACGACTTCGAGGTTCGCAAGAAGCGTGTCGACGAGGCGAGAGAGAAGCGCGTGGGTCGTTTCCGCGATGGCATGGGAAGCAAGAAGGAACTCAAGGGCAGGGACGATATCCGCAAGGCGAGACAGGAGAAGGAGAAGAAGAGGCTCAAGAACGCTCGACCTACCAGGAAGAAGTGATTTGTCGATTAGAGTGGCATCTACGCATGGCGTTTGGTCGATTTATAGAAAAGATAATGCGACTTGTTTCATTGAGAATTCTTACCCCTGAACATTATATGCGATGTTGGTTGGTTCAGTCACCCACTCCGCTCTCCATATCAGCCAAACATGCATTTCATATTGCAAATTTCACTGTTTGTTTTCCCATAGAACCAGCACTGTCCCTCTACAAGTTTTTTGAAGTGACCAGAATATCAGTGGACAGGACACATACAGATTTGCATACCCTAGGGACACAGGGACATTACACAAGACGCTCGGTGGACCTCAAAACAGATGACGATTTAGCACCTAGCTGTATGAATAGATAAACAATGCGAGTCTTTAGAGTGTATTAGAGTGCTCATGCAAGATTGGTTATTTATATAATTTTCAGCGCATGCTAACATCATAGTGGCAACAACCAACGTCGCCAACTCACACAACAACACGAAGCTTTATATTCACCGAGCACAAAGAGCTGCTGTGTAACAGGGATCCTAATCAAAGCATACATGTATCCCATCTTCGGCCCGGCAAGTTAATGCTACCCCAATCATTGTCCTGGAACCCGATCACGGATAGCTACATGAGCCAGCACCTTGATAAACTGCTTCTTTAATATCCGTCTTCGCTTCGCTGTCTGCTATCGGTATGCTCGATGGGCCTGGGTGATGGATAGAATTCATCTCTGACCTGTTTGGCTGTTGTTGACAACAATTCGCTGCTGTTTGTCCTGCAAGCTGATGGGATGTTATACCGGCTTCCTAGGAGAGTTCATTTATTCAGACCTTTTTTCTTTTTATTTTTATTTTTATTTTTATTTTTAGCGCAGAGGATCACTTATTGAAGACCAGCAAAGGATTATAAAGCCGAGTTGACCCCATTGATAATGGGAAACCCCTTGACACCTGGTTTTGCAAAGCTGTCGACCCGAGGGACCAGAAGCGAGAATCCAAACGAAGATACAACACAATTTCTAAACGAAAACCACAACTTCAAAATATCACAATGAAAATCACAAAGAAGCAGAGGCTGATAGCTACAATATGCATATCGTTCTCGTTCTTTGCAGCTGAATTAGCTGGTCAGTCAAATATCATCTTGGGAACCCTAGACTGACGGCATATAGTTGGGTTCTATACTCACTCCATCGCCTTGATCGCCGATGCCTTTCACTACGTATGAAAGTCCCCTGTGAACCAAGATGGAGATGGATACCTGACAACAAACAGCTTAGTGACCTTATCGGAATAGTTGTCGCTCTGATAGCGCTGATAGTAGGTTGCTGAGCTGCAACTCAAGTGTCTTGTTTAGCTTACCATGATAGTTGCAAGAACATACGAAACCAGCCCCACAAGGATACACATATGGATGGCACAGAGCAACGATACTAGGAGCATTCTTCAATGGAGTCTTTCTTTTGGCACTGGGGATCAGTATTCTAGTGCAGGCTGTTGAGCGATTCGTCCATTTGACTCGTGAGTTCTCAGTCTGTTTACACAACCACGACCAGAAGAGACTAACAAGATAGGCGTCCAGCAGCCTTTCCTGATCATGATAGTTGGTTGCGTTGGTTTGGCACTCAACGTTCTCGTACTATCTTTCCTTCATGGTGAGATAAGATTTTACCCTCCTCTGATATTCGCAACAACACTCGCTGACTTACAGCTCCAGAGCATGACCATGAACATGGTCACCATGAAGGTAGAAGACACAGCCATGATGATAGACAACAAAACCAGGAGACTGCTGGACCATTTACTAACGAGGCAACAAGCGAGAGCCTGACAGGTTTGGCACACGTAAGTATAGCATTACTATATGCTTTTGAGGTCTTTCTCATTAACAATAACTCAACAGATCCCTATTAACCACCATAATCATAGACACACAACCGTGTCCGTGAAGAGCCCAGGGAGGGACTTGGGTATGCTTGGCGTTTTCATTCACGTTCTAGGAGATGCCATCAACAACATTGGAGTCATCATCGCAGCAGTTCTGGTCTGGCAGCTCAAAGCAGAAGGTCGATACTATGCGGACCCAGCAGTGGGAATCTTCATCTCACTCATGATTCTCCTGTCAGCTATACCATTAGTCAAGAAAAGCGGCGCTATTCTACTACAAACTGCGCCCAAAGGCGTCAACCCTGAAGACGTCAAGCATGACATTGAAATGGTAACAGCGTACAGCTCATTCGGTTCAGAGCCAAGACTGACAAGCATTTAGATCCCTGGCATCAAATCGGTGCACGAACTGCATATCTGGCGCCTGGACCAACACAAATTTGTCGCCTCTGCCCACATCGTCGTCGACGGTAGAACTGTCCAGGGCATTGCAGACAAGGCTAAGATCATCATGGAGTGTCTCCACGCATACGGGGTTCACTCAGCAACCCTACAGCCTGAGGTTCTCGAAGCGAGCCCCGTGACCATGCTTGACAGCGACCCAGGCTCTCAGGGCCAGGCAACGTCGATCGACGCCAATCACAGCGTGTTCAGGACTCAACGACCGCGAGGGGGCGAGCAAGAATGCCAGGTGATTTGCGGAAGCTTGTGTGATGGGCTGAGGTGCTGTGCGCCAGTGCACCTTGAGTGATCGACGGTCTTGATGCTGTTTGTTATAGTCGTCCGAGCCTGAGGCGAAATGTGGCGAGGAGGAGAGGGGTTTGAGAGGGGCCAATTCGTGAAAGAAGTCCCAAAAGTTTATTCCTCAGTGGTTTTGTGGTCTCCCCCACGCTAAGAGAAAAGGGACATCCCTGAACTGACTGTGACCAGCAAGCAAACTGTGACTGTGCTGCGGTCTTTTGCCGCCGTGTTTGAGTGGCGTTCAGATTCGACTTAGTGAGCAAGGGCTTTTGAGTGATATGTTTAGTTAGCGGGAGAAGCCGGGGGAATTATCAATGAAGCTCTAACATATGCCTCAAATAACGGGGTAATGAATTGTGAATTGTGAGGATAGCGGGGTTGTAGTTCATAACTTGATGCTCACAATACAATGGAATGCAGCCAAGCCTCGACTAACATAACAAGTCTCACTATTAGTCAGGTCATTGAGTGTTGTTAAGCTGTGTCATTGTCACCACAGAGCAGAGGGATCTCGCGGCTGAGGTGATGTGATGCATTTTCCACAGGATCAGAGACCCTTGGCAGGATTGACAGTCAGCCTCATGATGGCATATGCACAAGTCACACCACTTGCTTTGGACCCTTGAAATGTGATAACGTGCTAATCTAAATGAGGAAAAGCTTATGAGCAACGCATTAAGAGATCTGAGGCCAGCCACCATGATCCGAGCATAGCATGCGAAAGCTAGGATGGCGATGATGGTGCTTAACATGGAGTGTGGTGAGCGAGGGTTTAGCGTTACATTGAATGCAGGCAGCCAAATTAAATAAAGTGTTTTTGAAGGTAAGATTTTCAATGTTCATAGAAGTGACTTACGGGGAGACATCTTGTCACAAGTCAGCTGCTCATTTCAGTGAGACGGTCAAGGGACGGCCCGCCCATCACTAGTCGATCCAGGCCAATGACGATGGCAGACGTCGAACAAGACTCACAATGCCAAAAAGGTGACAGAGTAAGCGAACAGGTGCTTTGCAACCCATCCCGTGACTCTGTGATGTGCTAAGAGTAACATTTGCCGACAAAGCATTAATAATGTTACTCCCAATGGCAAAGATTCGCTGAAAATTGTTCCTTGCGATCAGATACGGTCAACCTCTGACCAGGATTTCTGAGGTGGAAACACAACTGTCTCTCTTAACGTGAACCGGTCTGCCAGGATATGCCTGACACGCATTTGAGCGCAGCTGCAGCCGTAATTTGGTGTGGAGAGTTGATATTGATCAAGTTCCGATCGAGTGACCCAGCAAATCCGAGACGATGATCCGGATGCAATCTTGGGTTCCCAAACACTCGGAGGATATAGCAGGGATTCTGGTTGGTAACCTCTCCAACCCAAGATGTGACCTGTAACAATCCACAGCAAGGATGGAATAAAAGCTCATGCGGCCGCTCCACGCGCGCGCGCGAATGCGGTGGCTCATTTCATTGTCAGGTCAAACAAAAGAGCGTCTGCACCAGGGATCTTGAAGCGATTCCTAAGCTTCAAAGTGAATGGATATTCCGTACTGTGACTCGTTTGTTTACGCAGAGACGAGGCAGAATACCAGTAACCGCCAAGGGCTGGTTAACTGCGGAGACTGGGGCGGGCTGCGGGCTAGGGCGGTTGCAATGTGCGAGGACCCTTTCTTCTGCTGCAGCTCATAAGCTATGGTTACAGAAGCGAGTGCTGGGCGGTGAGATGGATGTTGAAGAGGAAGACAAGTGGAGTGGAGTTGTGAGGGTGGAGGTGGAGGTGGAGGTGGAGGTTTCAATAAAGTTACACGTGATGAACGCCATGTTCGACATAGGCAGACCACAGTACATACAAGAGACAGTGAGTTATGGTTAGAGTTAAGGAGGGATGCATAGATTCTGAAGCCTGGATAGAACGATATGTCATTGCAAGACATCAATAGAGAGTAAACTATGCAGTTGAAAAGGGAGTTGACGAAGCAACTTCTAGGGAGACAACTAAGACGATAACAACTAAAACATCAGCTATGATAGTTTGCTAACTAAGAATGCAGCCATTCATATTACGGCTAGCCACCACTGTAGTCGCTGGACTCTCAGGCCGGCACTTGTATTTGTTTCCAAAGATTGATAGCCAGTTTCTTTGGCCCCATACACATAGCTGCAGCCACAGAGTATGTAACTGAGCAGGGAAGGAAACATGGTTGAGATATGCGAATTGCCCAGATGGGTCACTCGTGTTGTTGACAGCTCATCTTGAGACATCAAGAAGGGTTATCAATTCCGTCGTCACTCTCATGTACCTTGATCATCATATCTTGAGGCTATTCAACAAGTGATCTGCAAGACAACTGCAGGCAGCCGGAAATTCGGACAGAAATTCCTCTTCACCGACAAGAAGGCAATATCGCAAGTCTTTTAATGAATACGTACCTTGACCTACTGATAGTGATCTTTACCAACATGACGGAAAATAACAGATACATACCTATGTGGTTGCAATGGCCCGCTAACGGGATGCAGATCGACAGTCCAGACCTCGTGTGAGTGCCGCTCCGACATAGCCTCGACAGCCCCAAATTGCTGATAGTGAACAAACAAGCCAGACCTGGACAACTCTGTTAAAGTCGGTATCGAATTGTTGAGGATAATAGCGCGAACGTGACTCATTTGCCACGGAGTGGCCGCTGACCGCGTCCTTTCTTGTTCCTGTAGATCACTAATGGAGGGGAAAACACAAACGACATGAGCCTCGAGGCAGCTTATCGCGGGGCATTTCGTGGCGGGACATGACGATGGCGATGCAACCCCACGGCGCATAACATCCAATGGAATTAGACTAGCACCTGTTCTACGGATACAAACGTGCAAGCGGCCGTTAGGGCCGAGGCCTCAGACAAAACACTAACTAAATGTCTAGTTGACTGTTAGTTGTGAGATTCTCTAGTAATGAAACAAGTGAATGACCTTTGAACCGAGCCCTTGAGCCGAGAAGAGTCCAAAAGATATCCGTACCTGAGCGTGGAGTATCGTCTGTTTCTATGCCTGCTCGGTAAAGAGGATCATTCGAATCGATCGAACCCGAAGATACGGTGATGGTACCTTGTGGCATGCTCAGCTCACATAGCATCGCGCTGCCTGCATCGCATTCGCAAGGGGGCCATTGACATCAAGAAGGATCAGGGATTAACCACTGCCCATCGGGATCCTCTTTGATTCAAAATTCCGATATTTTGACTGACCAGGGGCTCGAACTAAGGAATAGGCGAGTTCAAATACGTACAATGTTACACAGTAATGTCAGGCATCTGGTTTGATCACTGGCATGGCAGTGTTTCTTGGCAGAATGTCATTCAATGTCATGTAAAGGGGGTTCCCACGTCTTGATATCCTCAAAGGGTCAACCGGAGCTGTATCCGGCAATGCGAGTCAAGCTCTACGGATCGAGATGTCAATGGACACCGCGCGAGTCGAGCCCGAGTTATTTGTCAAGTAGAGTGATCCTACTAATTACGTACTGATTGAAGGATTCTACAACGGAGTCACCGGAGAATTTTTCTCTTCTTACGGCAGTTCGAATCGAGTGGGTGAGAGATTTTAAAAAAAAGGTAGGTAGTTGAGAGACAAGCTCAACCTTCACACCACAAACAAACAAATTCGCATCCATCTCGGAGCCGACTCTTCGTTGTGCTAATTGAGTCAAGGACGCACAGCGCACACACACACTTTTTCTCTTAAGTTGCATGTACAATAGCGTCATGTGTACGGTGCACGTTTTCTTGAGCCAATAGAACAGACGCCAACGGGTAGGTCAATGTTACCAGCCGATAGCGGCGGCTTGCAACTGCGCGCGTTGGTGATGGCATTGTGATGACCAGAACAGGGGGTTGTGATAGTTTCATACAAAATACCCTTACCTTGCCTACCGACATGTACAACTACAAGAGCTACCTACCTTACAGTTGGGCTGCGATCGATACGCGCAAATTTGAAACTCTCGCCGGTCGATGCCTTATTGATCATCCATGTCAATGAATTCGCAGCTCGTAAATTGTTCGCTTACGGACTCGCTTCTCTTAAGTACCTGCTGTATCTCGAGTACAAGCCCGTCAAAGCAGAGCACGAGACAGCGGAGGACAGGACGGGGCAGGGAGTTGACTTGACTGCGGCACCGTTACCCATGGCGTTCTTTAGCCGGCTTCTTGATGCTTGGCCTCGGCATGTCTAGCTTATACCGTAGACGCTAGTGTGCGCGATGGTTGCTGTGTTGAGGATTGGGCTGAGTTAGTTGTGGAAGTCGTTGTAGGAGGAGTGTCAAGTTAACGTTGCTGCGTATTCGGACTTGTGGACGTCAGAGTCAGTCAGTGTTGTAAGTGTAGTAATTGCAACAGCGGAGAATTTCATAATGTACCCGGCCTTGTAAAAGACATCCAATCCTGGTCTAGGAGTTTATGAGTAAAAAACACAAGCCATTGACATGTCAGAGCACACCTAGAGTTCCACTATCATGACCGTCACCATGGTATTTAATCAGAGGCCCTGACCTTGTCTGCCATGTTTTGAACCCCGGAGTTTCCATTATCTATCTGTCTGCCTTATGTCTTTTGTGTCTCGAGGAAGAAACAGTCAAGATAGTCGAAGCTGAGTCTTTCTGGTCCTGAATAAATTTGGGCTAGATAATAACAGTATTCAAAAGATGCCGTGCTCTTCTATCAATATTTTTAAGCCTCATGTAATGATTTCTAATGACCGAAATAGGAACGAATTCCTTCTCTTTCGTTTACTTGTGAGACGTGAGTTGCTGGTCTTGCTGCGACTCTGATCAAATCATCAAAGTATCAGTACTACATATCTACTGAAACTCTTTGGGCCTTAGCTACTGGGAAGACCCTGGTCGGGGCCCGACGACTGTCGATTTAATGGTTGCTTTCACCGCAACTTGAGGGCCAGGGATTTGAGGATTGGCGGACGTCGTCTCTTTTGATGCATACAAGGCGCTTGTATTTCTTTTGAAGCTGGTTGACTTGCATGTGCTTTCTTACCTTATCTTGCTCTGAAGTCGTTCCAAATCCCGTCAAGGGCACAGGCTGAAGTCAAGGGGGTTCAGGTCCCATTCGCCTCCATTCTCGATAATCACAATCAACTCCATCTTCAGGCCTCGACCCTCTTTTCTCCGTATTTCTGTTTTACAATATTTACTCCGGCTTGCCCTTCTGCGATCAACCACAGACAAAAAGGCCAGCAGAGCCGCCGACGACAAGAGAAGAAAAAAAAGGGTCGGGTAATTGTTTTAGCAAGGCCCGCCGTTGTCGTCGACTTCAACCTATCATCTTAAAGGCTTTGTCTGTGGAATGGCATCGCCCACACCGAAGATCCATTTATTAGGTGTTTAGCCACCCGCAGTGCCGCCGCAGAAACATTAACTCGAGATCCAACTTGTTACATAAACGTCGCCGCTTCGAGTATTCTCGCCGTCGTCGAGTTTCGGTTGAACGAGTTTAGTTTATTGGAGTCACGGCTCATCGGCTCGGCACAACGTACGTTCTCGACTCTACAGTAACAGAATAAGGAGATCATTCAAAGTAAACATTTTTGGGCAAATCAAATCTAACCAAAAACCAAACCAAAGTTGACCATCTTTGGCTGTTAGACAAAAGTCTCTCTGCCCCGGCTTTCAGTTCCAGCCGCTCCGGCGTGGTTGAAGAGTGTTGTCTAGCATCGGGTCTCGTCATTCGGCATCAGAGTCTCCTTCAGCGCCCGTTTAATCTAAGACTCTGGGGAAACAAGATGCCGTCCATTCCTCGACTGTGATCATCTTGTTCTCCTCCGATCTATCCACCCATCCTTGCTGTACAGGCGGACGAGAACGAGAGAGAAGAGTCCAGTAACCCAGCTTGGTAATAATCCACAGTTCGTCTGTTGTTGATTCTCCTCCGATCCATATCCATCTAATTCATAAATTACCCACCCATACACATGCAATCTCCACTGAACCATTCCCCATCTCATCTCCATTCTCCATCCTGGCTCCGAGCTAAGAGGTACGGGGCATCTTGTACCTCGTGGTCCAACCACCACCAGCGCCAACCCTTAACCGCCACTAACGAGCTGCCTGGAATACCTGGCACTGCGGTACCGCCCGGAAGCTTTAAGCCCACTAGACCTCAGCGCACACACGCCCAAAACTGGGCTGCCACCCGCCCCAAGTTGGCCTTGTCCCGAGCATCTGGATCAACAACAACTCTCACTCACCTCGAGCATTTCCATTGATTTTGACTTCATCTCAACTCATTTACATTGACGTCTATGACAGCGTTCTCGAACTCAAACTCACTCTCGCTGCCACCGCCCGTAGAACAACTTCTTCAGCTCGAAACCCCTCTTTACGAGCTTCCACCTGCAGCTACCGACCCCATCTCTCCTGTTGATCACTCGCAAAGACCGCATATCGTCTGCCTCCACCCACGAACTATCAACCCCTCACACGCAGCAGAAGCACCAGCAGCAGCCAACAGAAACAACCAACAACAACCCTTCTGCTCTCCGCATCTCGCGCTTCGTAACGTACCGTACCGTATCATTCGCACCTCGCGTCACCTCGAATTCTCCCAGTGACCAAAAGGATTCAACCACTCATAATCAATCCAGTATCAGCTGTGCATGCTCTTCTCATACACTCCCATCACAGCTGTTACCCATTGCTGAGCACGAACCACCATTGCCACCCTCCAGCTCCCGCCACAGCAGCAATCAACCTCACTACCGCCACCTTTTTCTTTGGCACTTTGGCAAACAAAGCTTCCAGCTTGGATCTTGCTTTGTTCGAGCATTGAGCTTTAAGATTTCCGAACTCCTTGACCCCTCCATCTCAGTTTGCGCCCGCTCTAGCTATCGGTTTCTCAAGCTCAAGCTGGAGTGAATCTAAGTTCCGCTTCTGCAAGCTTATTGCAATTTCACATGCCACGCGCAGTGGTTACTATGCGATTACGCCCAGCTCGAAATACTTCGTTACCCATCTTGATTATGGCTCGCCGTCGTAATTAATATCGACGGCCGCCTTTCTTATTAACTCAACCTGCTGCCCAAATCCCTGAGTGCGCCTCCCGACATGCTCGGCCGGCTCTTGCACTTGGGCACTGGCGGCCCTTCAGCCACGCCTACACAAGCCAGTACAAAGACATCGAGACCAGTATCCTCACTTGAATCTGCTCAGGAGGATATGGTAACTCGAAATCTGCTTTTTCCAGACGCTGATGCTTTGTATCAGCATCGCAATGATCAAGTGTTTCCCCTATCAACCACACCAACAACCCCTGCCACTTCTACCGCCAATGCTTTTGACTACAGCGGCGATGTCGACTTGGACGTACGCGATGTTAGGGTTATCATAATGCAGGATGCCCTAGGACCTTCTAATGCATCTCTTTTGTTTGACAGCCACCCTGCTCCTCCAGTATCGCCCACAGAGCGTCCGCCCATTCCTCCAGAGTTTCGAAGAACACCAACTTCACCGCGCAAAAGCAGTCTTGGAGGCATATCACGACCTTTGGTTATTCAACCGGAAGGACCTCAGCCTTCGCCTCGACAGGGTGCTTTTGATCGACGAGCCTCCCTTCAGGGGCGCAGGGATAGTCATGTCGAGTCAGATGGACAGAAGGCTGCTCGCGAGTACCGCGAGGAACTCGCAACGTTCTCAAGCTGCATCTTTGGAAACTCTGAATTAATGTCCTACAAAGGAACATCGACAAAGGTCCATGTTGTCCCTGGCGACTCACGTCCTGCTGAACCTTCAAGCAGCATTATTGGGGATGGACGGAGCTCTATCGGACGCTCCAGCGCGCGCTCAAGTCGGCTTTCACAATCCTTCTCCTCACAAGCTTTCTCCCCCACAAATATGTCCGCAGTCCAAAACCACACCTCTACCTCGCGTCCCGGCGAGAAGAAGAAGGTTCTAATAACTCGCTTATTTCCTGTCAACCTTACTGTTGATGACCCAGAAACCAACGTATCGCCTTCTAAAGATTATGCAGACGAGAGTGCAGGTTTCCCCTTTCCAACAACAAGCGACGAGTCTGTGCCCAAGAAGAAGAAGCCTCAACCGAAGCAACGACGAACGCCGATGTATGCCGTGGTCTTAGTAGTCCAACTACCTGCTGCAAACACCACCTCAACTCGAATTTCATCTATGAACCAGTCCAAATCTGCACAGCGCGAATCAAGCTCTTATAACGATCAAGAGTTTTTCCCATCATCTTTCAGCTCAGCCCGTCCTTCAGGATGGACAATGGTTGGATCCGGAAATGGTGATGGGTCAGACACTTATACACCCGACATGGAGGATAGAATTGATTCACTGACTCGACATTGGGATATCATCATGAGGACATTGACTCATCTTCAATCTGTGGTGGCCACCACACTGGCCACGTTGCTCAAGCAGGTCGACCTGGCTTCTCCCGGTCCAGCCCCTGGACCGGTTCCACCTCCAGTAGTAACTAACAAAACTGGCAGAGCACATTCTTTCTCAGACCAGCGCCGGGGTGACATGCCTCGAATTAAGCCTTCGAAGAGCACCACCAAGCTGGTTTACCTTTGGCCGAACTGTCTCGCTGAGGATAAATCTGTCGAAGGGGAAGTCGATGCCGCTAGACACAGAATTGTTATGGGATTGAGCGCAGCAAGAGTCGTAACCGGCCAGGGGCGCTGGGGGATTTGGCGTGACGAGGCTCGATGGACCTCCAAGTGGGTTGCTGGCACTGACAATCAGAACCAGTTCCTCTACAATCTCCTGACTGGGTTTCTGTCAACCCACACAGACTGGCTGCAGGCTCTTTGCCCTCCCTCTTATCGAAGACGGCTCTATCTTCAGCAGAAGAACCGAAATGAGGAGGATCTGTCGCTGCCGGCACGAACCATTATCGTATCCGATGACAAAATGGTTGCTAGGCGCCTCATTTTTCTTCTCTCAGCCTTTCTTCCTGCTAATTCTCAGTTTCCTACAACCCGTGCTCATCGGCCCAGCACTTCGACTTCCGTTGGAACATATTCCAATTCGCCCCCGACCTTCGTAATTCCTGTTCTACGGGAAGAGTCCCTTCGTCGAAAGATCAACAGGCGCACAGGTCTCCGCCGAGCCTCGCATTCTAGAACAACGAGCCAAAGCGCCAGAGCCTCAGCTGTCCCCATGCAACTTGCCCATCTGACAATGGATCGCAATCATGAAAGGCGAGTTTCAGATGCAGCCTCAATTCGACCCCCGAATTTTGCAATGTTTGGCAACGATATTGTTAGCAGGAAGAGCAGCGCTGCGACAACTACAACAATTATGCCCGAGACCACTATACCGCATTTCTCGACAGCTCAGCGAGTCGAATCCCAGAGAAGGCCTCGCCCCAGTAGTAGCGGTAGTGTCGCTACTGACGACTTGAAGCGCTCCTTGAAGCGAGGTGAAAGTACAGGCGCGATGAGCAATGCCAGCAGCGACTCTAGAAGTCAAAGTTCGCGCTGGGGGAGCGTCATCAGCGGCCTGTGGAGCACTCGACGCCGCGACTCAACCTCTTACAGCACCTATAGTGGGTATGATCCGAAATCGCCCACCAAGGCCTCGTTCCATAGAACGGATAAGCTGTCTCAGATGGTGGAAGAAGCATCTCTTGCAGAAAACCCAAATATTCCTTCATCATCGGCTCGCCGCCCTTCTACTGATGCTTTGAAAGGGACTGGTACACCAAGAGAATGCAAAGGTCACAGCCGAGAGCCATCTATTCGCCCTGACAGGACACCTGACCCAAATGGCGCATTTGAATCGCCCGTTAAAACATCTATCAATGCCGACGACGGCGTCATTGACGTAGATATCTCCTTTCCTGACTACATGACGTCCTTTGAGTCTGCCATCAGCTCGCCTTCAAGCAGTGGCTACTTGTCTACCCCTGGACTGCAAAATGGACTCGAGTCATTCGAACAGGCCTCACGCTTGTGCATCGATGGCGATCTCCCGCTTAACGCTGCTGGCTGGCTGAACCGTTATCATCCTGACTTTGCTCTTCAAGCCATCCCTCCTCAGGAGGATCTCATGCAGCAAATCAAGGCATCTCTCCAGGCTGAGCCGACGCCTCCGCCGGTCCACCCCATCTTGGGTGACCTCAATGAACGCTGGGTTGATATTAGCAGCGTTATGATTGCTGATACTACCACCAACTCGATCACTCGTCTGCGGTACCGTCGACTTGTCAAACCACGATCGCCAGCTGATCATCGACCTCTCACTGGCCCACCTGGTCTTTCGACCTCTTATGGGGGGCTTCTTACTCCCTCAATTCTCCCTTACGAGACTCAACTTGAGGAGGAATGGATCGAGGAGCCTGTCTTGCATCCTGATGAAACCCTGACTGATGCAGTCGAAAGAGTCATCAGCCTGAGTCAGGATACCAGCAAAGATCATTCTTTGGCTTCCTCTCAAACACATAGCGATACCCGCATGAGTACCGAGGTTGAGGAGCCTCTATCTATCACGGCTCCCATCACGCCAGCACTGCCTCAGGCACCCTTGGAGATCCCCCGTGTCCAGTGCAAGACCGTTGTTCTCTCTGCTCTTGAAGACAGTATCCGCGAAGTCATTGACATTCGCGAGAAGCGGCACCTAGAGACCAACCACGCTAGAAATGGCCGATCACGAAGCCCACTTCACGATGCCATTGGCTTGTGGCTTGACAATCTCGATATTACCGATGGATGAGTTCGACATGAACCACCCTCATCTAACGACTTTTATGACTTTGTTTTCTGCGTTTGTCCCGCATACAGTTTTGTCTGACGGATCTACAATTGCCATCGGACTTTTCCTACCAAGACCTCCAAATGATACCCCATGTGTCGCTTCGTGCGCACACACAAGCCTTGGAAACGGCCATACCAGGAGAAGCATGTGGAAACACTGTTCCGAATTCCCTTTGCTTTTTACGCGTCTCATTTTGGATTAGACCTTATGCATTGTGGCATGTTTGGGTCCTTTATCTTTTTTACCAATGTTTAATTTGCTCTTCTGATTTGCTTCCTGGCCAAGTTGACCATACTAGAGGTTGGCGTTTCGTGTTACGGAAGGGATAGCGATAGCCTTGGAGTTTTGGCGAATATTCATAGCAATATCTACTGCGATAATAGACTATCAACATATTTCTTCAAATCTACTGAAAGAATTACTATGACTTCGCTCAGTTTTGAGACATGAGGTGCTCGTCATGTCTATCAAGTTGCTGTCGAGTCGAGGTCAGCCATTTAAGACGACCTATATTCAGGTATGTGGACCATTCAACGTACATTTATCACTAATTCATGATGATATCTCATATAATATACCAAGCTCTCATCGCCCAGTCAGACTCGATCCGCTATCATACTGAACACTACTCCTTCGCAGAAACGACATAGGACTATTAAGTCGCTTCGTTGGCGCTCCATCATTTCCTCCCAGAACACCAGGCGGCAGTCCCAGAGTGGGTATACTTGCTTCAGGCACAGCCTCCAGAGGTGTCGAGGCCGCTGCTGTTGCAGGCGTGCCCTGAACCTTCTGCCCCTTCTCCATGGCTTCTTTGTAGAACTCCTCAAGCGCAACCTTATCCTTGCAGAACTCGTCTATCTCGGCATTGAGGGCATCAGGATCAGGAGTCGTCGAGGACGAGGCTTTGGTATTCTGATCAACTGGTTTCAGGGCTGGTGAATGGTAAAAGTGTGTCGGTTTGACAACTGGAGATGCAAGAGTTGCTGACTCTGTCATTCCAAAGGTTGAATAGGGGCCATACGATGACATACGACCACCACGTTCGACCAAGGGCGGGTCAGCTGAACGAATCTCTTTCTCGCGAGGATTCGCAGATCGACTGCTGTACAGACGATTTGCGAGAATTAAAAAGTCACCCTCATCAGTAATCTCTGCTAAAAGAGAGCCGCTGCGATGAATGTACTGGGTGTATTTATAATCCGGCTTGCCCCAAGAATAGGTCACATCAACATTGCTTGGGAAGTTGGAGGCTGCCTCCATATCCAAAACGAAGTCGAACTTCTTTAGGATGGCAGTCTGGTAAAAGTGCTTGTTTGGGGACGTCGTTGGACCCTGTGAATTGGGGTCAATGTACGTCTCAGGCCTCTGATCGGGAGGACGCGCTGCGAGCTTGATACGGTATGGTCTTCTGAAGGGGTTTGTCTCAGTAATTGTGCATGCCTCCTTGATAGGGACTTCAACAAGTCGAAGACCATATTGACTGGCCTCTCGAGCCCAACTTTCAACTGCGTCTTCCACCAATTTTGTCGTAACGTTCATCCAGTCGATACGGATATGGTAGCAGCCATCAGGATTGTGGAGACGGTCATAATGCAAGTCGATTCTCTCTGGCCTGTATGATCGCTTGCGGTGGTCAACATCGTACTTGATAACTTTGCTAAGAACAACTCTGGATCGTTTCACGCTGTGAGAGAGCGATATGGTCGGGGTCGTAGATGTTGACGCAGGAGAACCGCCTTCGTCAACCGAACGAGCCGACATAAGAGCTCGAGGCGAGTCTCGGCTGGAAGCTTCGAGACTTGGTGTTGGTGGCACCGCAGCTCGTCGCGAGTTAAACCATCCTACATGAGGTTTGGCAAACTCGCTGGCGATTTGGTAGTAGTAGTTGCCGTCGCGGAACTGATGCCTCTTGTCGACGTGAACAAAAAGTCCCTTGTCTTTGGAATTTCCCGATCTTCCATCATCGTGTACCATCAGAGCATTACCCAGTGCCTCAGCATCTTCTCTAGTATCGAGATCCTCAAAGTTGTCCAGCAGCCAAGTCACCATATCAGAACCGATAAAGGAAGCAGAGTAGAGGCGAAGATGCCACCTTCGGTTCTGCAGTCTGACACCTCCATTCTCAACAGGCTGTTGCATAGCATCAGCTAACGTGGCCAAGTTCAGGTTGGATTTCTTAAAGCGCTCCTTGGCCGAAACAAGTCCCTTTCGATTGCCACCCTCCAGCCCTTCTGTGAGCGGAAGCGTTTCGACTTCAGCAGCAATTACCACTGAGGGGTCATCTGTTTTGTATACAATATCTAGGGGGTTGGGGTCTCTCTTGCGCTTCTGTTGCCCGACCGAATGATATCTTCGTTCGGAGGGAGGGATGTATCGATACTTCTGCCAGGATTGGGCAAGACGCTTGATACCCTCAATTCGCACCTCTTCAGCGTGATCCCCGCCCTGTGTTTTTGATACTGGGACATCCTTCCGCGAGACAGGAATAAGAACGAATCTTGCACGCCAGAAGCGCAGACTGTCCATCATTTCGTCGTGATGCCCAGCAATATATGAATCAATCATGTTCCAATTACGCTCAGGACGAGCGGTCAGGAGATCAATCTCCCGCGCCTCATATGCATCATCGAGAAGAGTTCGAATGGCAGGCTTGTAGATCGGCGAGAAGCCTTGAGAGGTGAATGATGTGTCTGTTGGCTTTCGTACAAAGATGTTCACTTCGACTTCTGTGCCGTTGACGCACGAAAGTTGGTGGATGCTGTTGCCAACAGACATGAAAATGCTTGTGCCATCCTCAAGGGGCTGGTCTCTCGAGAAGATATCACCAATCTTGATTAGATTTTGTCCAAATGCACGGGCGACCCATGGTCCTACTACAACTTGGAAGCCCTGCGAGAATCTCAAGCTAATCAACTCTTGAATAAAGTCTTGCCGGGATTTGGGCTCCTCAACCATGTCATCATCTGTATCTTGCTCAACAGTGTACGGATGGCGATGATATTCGGTATCAAACTGAGTCTTTGAGGGGAAATACTCGGTTGTCAAGGGTACAGAAGCAGGGCAACAAAGAGCTTTCCATTTCTGAACCTTCATCTGGCCGATTTGTGGATAAACATGTTGCCATCGACTATACAATACAGTATCGTCGATCGCAAGGCTTTCCGGGTTCGATGGATTCAGTAGCGTTAACCATGGAGTAATGGAAGTGGTAGGCGACAGAGTTGTTGGGAGGTCTTGAACGGCACCGCCCAACGCACCCGCACGTAGTTTGTTGGTGTAGAGTTTCTGGGCGTCATCAGCGCGAAGGGCATCGGAGGACCTAAGATCACGATCGTCCTCCCTCTTTTGCTGCCGATTATTCAACGACGAACCTATCGTCGATGAGGCTGTCCTTAGTTGTATCGCAGCCATATCGAGGTTTCCAGAATTATTTCTTTTGAGAATGGGAATGCTAGGAGTCATGGGCACTCCTTCAATGATAGTGTCAGGGGTGTCTGTTCGATACTTGTGTACAGACAGTGACGATGGGTGGCTCGCAATTGTTTGGGGCGAGCTTGGCCGTAGTTCTGGGCGGATTCGAGGGGTTGATGGTTGTTTTGCTTCGCTAGATGTAACGCCAGAGGCGTTAACTGTCTCGGCCTTGATCTCTGCAACTACCGCCTTTGGGGCAGCGATGCCAAATCCTCGCTGTCCGAGACTGATCTGCCTCATTAGTTTGGGTTGCTTCGCAACTACTTTTGGAGGCTTTGGAGCAGGTGGTTCAACGCTCTTTTTCAGGCTTGTAGGTGATGGTTTATCGCCGTCCATGATGTTCATCGACAGCTTCCGCGCCGAAGGGCCAAGAATTGGCGCCTTTTTCTCAGGGAGCGAAGTTCCATATAGGCCAGAATCCTCTGCCAGCTGTCTTCTCGTGATCTCATCCAAATCTTTTGCGTATCGTGACGAATGATGTCGACTACGACTGCTGGAGATTTTGGCCCTATGATCATCAAACTCTTGTAGCTGTTTCCACAATGACTTTTCACCAGGACGTGCAAGTCTATCTGGAACAAATCTTTGGAATCCATGAATGTGATCAAATAGAGCCTCCGGGGGACGCTTGTTGGGAATGTAGACAATGTCATTGATCCCAGTATTTCGATACTTCTGTGAGGATGGTGGCTCTGTGATGTTGGCCGGGAAATGCGTGTCAACTTGTAAAGGTGTTGTTTCGATTTCGTTGGTTTCAAGAACACTCCTCATTTGCAAGGCATACATGCGGCATCGGATGTTGAACTCATCTTCGTCATCTTGCACGACTTTGTTAGACACAGATAGAGCAATGCCTTCATAGGACAAGGCCTCGTCAGATGCGCCGGTCCAGAAAGAGACATGAAGCCATTGAGGCAACGCAAAGCACCACTGCTCACTTGTTGCCATAGACATGAGAGGATCTGAACGACGAGAAAGGCTCATTCCCTTCGAAGGCGAGAAAGATTCGCCAAGTGACTGGTAGCTACCGATCACTGGCGTAGGATGATTAGGTGTGCTATCCCGGCTGTGGAACGATCTTGAGAAGCTGGAACGATGAGCATGGCCATGATCATCAGAATACTGCGGATTGCGGTACTTGAAAAGGGGCACGGAATGGAGAGGCATCTTAGGCATGCATATTAGATCAATACCAATACCGTTTCCAACCAATGCCTCAGTTGTCCTCCGCAGTGTCTCATAGTCTACCTCAAAAACGCCAGAGCCCGGACTTATGACTGCAATGGAAATTCCAGTTCTGGTGAGATCCCTGTCGATATGATCATGGGCAAACTGGGACGAAGCTAGGTTAATCGCCTCGAGAACATTGCCATACATAGCATAGGTCGATTCAGCCTTGACACGAGTTGAAGGTGTATCCGTAGGGATGGAACCTTGGCCGTCAATTGCTGCCTGAGCATTGAGCTTATGATGATGCAGACTGATATCCCGACGGAAGAAGTTGAACTCCACCTTCAGCTGATGCAAGATCTTTGTCCACTCTCCACTACCCATCTCGCTGACCACAACTCGATAGAAGTCTTTGTATGGTCGACGCGGCCCAGATGGCTGAATGCCTGTGTAATAATCACCAGATAGGTTGTCAAATTCAGCTGTCAACCCAGTATCATATTCGACACGCGCAAAAAGCACGATGCTCACGAGGTGTTTGGCCTTGAGCATGGCCCATCTCTTGAACAGCGCGGGTAGAAAACCATTCACAACCTTGTTGAACATGATCTCGCCTGAGCTTTCGGCGTCGAATTCCCACATCTCTCTGGCCATTTGGATGAATAGGACATATCTGGCAGATTCGCTGCGGAAGATGGGTCGAGTATCCCGGGTGAAAAAGGCAGAGTGCGTTCTGCGGCCATCAACATAGATTGCAGTGACTTGCGCCTTGATTGTACCCATGAACAACACCGATTGACCTTTATAGACCGTTCTTCCCGTCAATTCACCCACTGTCATTCTCCAGATGTCTGATCTGGACAAGTATTGATCCTTGAACGACAGTTCAACGTGCGACGCTTCCGTAGCTGGGTTCTTCGCATCCACCTGTATATTTGTTAGCAGCCTGAACTTTATGCAAATTGGAATGCTTACCATCGTCAAGAGGACCTGGGAACCTTTCTTCATCCCAAACGCATCTGCAATGTGCTTCAAGACATAGACCTCAATATCGGGATTCCGTGTTTTTGTCTCTTGAGGCATGTCTTTTGCGACAAAGAAGTATTTAAAGCACGCGCTGTCCCCATTTTGAGATCCCGTTGTCCCCTTTGAACCATAACTCTGTTCCTGATTTTGCTTGCTACTGGCACCATGGCCGGTCGAGATCTTTCGCAAGTCATCTCTAGCTGTCGATATACACATCAACGTCCCAGGTTTTATGTCCCCGCCAACTACATCGAAATTGAGCAGGACCTCATCTCTAGCGTAGCCCTCGTTAACGGTCACGGTGCATCGGCGTTCTATTCTTGTTCGCTTCTCTTCCTTGATTGTGGAATGAGTAGATACGCTCGTGGGCGACGCAGGGACATCGGTTTGGGTGCGATCCAAACTTGATCTGCTCAGATGTCGCCAGTGAGGCGGTCCCTTGCGAGGGACCGGGTTCCTCATGATGCCATTTCGTGACATGAGATATGGCTGTCGCTATCGCTATCGGTTGCTATGTGGCAGAATTCGACAGGGCGCGATGCGATCCTGTAGTTCGCATGTTGGTCTCAATAGATTGACACGATTGACGAAGCCGATTGAGAGGCTACAGATGGAATATCACTTGTCGCAATGGCTGTCGTTAGTAGTATTGCGACTAAGAAAGCTGAGGTCGGCTGCCGCGGCAGAATCGAGCCACCGCCTTCCGGCTTAGGAAGCTTGCTCTTTAACGTCAACATCACTGTGTAACATGATTGGTTGGTGATAAAGCTACTCTAAGAATTCACATACTTCGAACTGAACTCCCTTCCTTTTGTCTTTGATGATGGAAGAAATTTTGATTTTTGTCACAACCTGGACAATATCGAGGGATATCAACACCAAGAATCTCTTGACCATATGTCGAACAAGTTTCTACGGTTGGTGTACATAGGAAGCCTTGGAGAGCAAGACCAACAACGTTTAGTGATACAACATACACTGTCTCCTCTGTTAATTGAGAGGGGACTCACTACTTGAATCGTGATGGTTTTCACTTTGTTTTTCTCATTTGCCAGAAATCTAAATGGCATTAAAAGCCTTATAAATCACGCTTTAACTAACGATGTCCTATCCTAGCTGAAGTGCAAACCGAACCTCCGACGCCTATCGCTTTTCGCGCTTGTTTCTTTGCCTTTGCACCACCACCCCACAAAGATCGCAGGTGCCTCCGTTGAGTATATACTGCGAGGTTCAAATAGACTTTGTCCAAATACCTGCTTGATGGAGAAATACTGCAGGACAGTATGCAGAATCGTTGGGGGCGGAAACGGGTAGCCGCATCTAACCCAAAATGGAAGTCTAAACAAGGAGAGAGCCCGCAAAAAAAATAAAAATGTACAGAGTTGGAAAAGAGAATGACTACTCGTCTGAGTGTGTTGGGTACCCTATTATGTGGTCAGTAAACATAAGTAAAGAAGCTTGCAGGGCCTGAAACTTACACCATGAGCAAACTGCAATGATGGAATAAAGGCAAATGAGAAGCCAACCCTCCAGCCAGTGACTTTTACCGTCTGCAATCAAGTAGTTGACAAGCAAAACAGCCACGAACATGGTTGCAACTTGGAACAAGTCGAAACTCAGGTTCATATCATCGTTACCCATTCCCCAGCCGATAATAACCAACAAGGGAATCAAGAAGAGAGCAACCTGCATAGAACTTCCAACGGCCACACCGATGGCCAAATCCATTTTATCCTTGATCGCAACAGTCACAGCCGTGGCGTGCTCGGCCGCGTTACCCACGATAGGCAACAGGATCAGTCCGACGAATTCCTCTGATACACCTCCAGTTTTAGTAACAGCATCGATGGAATCAACCATGAACTCAGCACAGAGAGCGATCAGGACGGTGGCGATTGTCAGCGTAGCGATGGCGACCCAGAAGTGCAACTGAGGCTCTTCCTCCTCATCTTCATCCTCTTCGGCCTTTGGAAGTCTGTGAGGGTTCATAAGCATCTCAGACAAACGCTCATTCTCTTCGCGTCCTGTCATGCCACCGCCAACGAGAGCACCAGGAACCATGATGCCTTGTCGGATATCGCCGGCTCCGGCACTTCCACGGGACCAAGGCTTTGCGGCGACCTTCTGGCTTTCCTTGGCGAATGTACTCTGGTGAGTCTTGAGCTGGAAGAGGAGATAGGCGGCATAAACGATGAGAAGAATCACTGCTGTGCCTCTTGAGAGTCGGGCTACGTTAGCGGGCGGTGTATCCTTCGCTTGGTCGAAAACTGTTGGCACAATGACGGAGGCGACGGCAAGAGCGAGCATGCTGTGAAATTAATTAGCAATCGTCCAACCAGTATGTCACGGTACTTACCTAGCGGCGGTTTGGGCGACAGTTTCGTTAAAATATTGACTCTCGCGTCGCAAACCACCGAAAAAGAAACAGAAGCCCAGCACCAGTAGAAGGTTGCTCAGGATTGAGCCCACCAGAGAGGTTTGAACGATAATGACTTTTCCATCGACAAGAGCCAGGATAGCCACGATGAGTTCGACGGCATTTCCAAAAGTCGCATTGATCAGACCACCCAAGACTTCACCCGTTCGTAGGGCGATCTCCTCCGTAGCGAAACTGAGAATAGCGGCTAAGGGTATAATTGCGATAAAATTTACCACGAAGACGGCGATCCGGTTAACGCTATGGATGTAGTTGAGAGCGATACCAACTGGGGCAGCAATGAGAAGGATGTTGATATATGAGTTGAGAAAGGTTCTCTGAAGTTGGTTTCGGACGGTGAACGGCTCCTTGGGCTCGACCTTGCGGAATATCTTTGTAGACTCTCGTTTCTTAAGTTTTCGCTTTTCCAAATCGATATTGTGATCTGCTACAGCTGGAACATCCTCGCGTTTTCTGTTTCGTAATTGATTTTCGTCACTGACGAGCGAGCGCTGTGAGACGGGGATATCGTCGTTCCCCTCAATTGGTGAACCTCCAACCGCCTTCTCTCGGTCATATTCGCCTTCCTTGCTTCTCCTCATATCTGTCATCGTCTCTGCCGTCGACCACTCTCTGGCTGGTCCGCTTCGACCAGGTTCGGTGACAGCGTGTGCCAAGGTCTCGCCAGCTGTCTCTTCTCGTGTGCTTTGTTGTTCCAGGCGGCCGGCGTCAGAAAGGGCGCGTGTTTGACGTTTCCACTCGACGTGACGAAAGGGATTCCAAGATTGATCGGTGCTGGTACGACTCAGAGTATGCGCTTGACGCTTGATGTTGAAGTGATTGACTATAGTGGTGTGTGTGAGTAGGCAAGCAAGCAAGCAAAAAAGCAACGGCAGATAGCAGATAGCAGCAGGAGTTCTATGGCATGTGGTAGAGAAACCAATGATTGACACTATGGATACGAGAAAAGTGAAGAAACTGAAAGGGGACCTTACAGGAAGACATCGCCAAGAACTGGGGTCCAAGTTCTTACGTGGGTCAACTGATGCGAATGTTCCGTATGTACCGTAAGTTGGGCTGCGTTGCGTGTCACTCGCGGCGCGGCACGGCACTGTAAAGTATAAAAAAAGAGAGAAAGATGGGGATGCCAAGGTTTCGAGAAAAACAGGGACCAAGTTCGCTCGAGGGAGGTGGGCTTGGCCTAGGTTTTGTTTTGTTGATTGATTTCAGGTCTTGTTCAATATTAGAACCTTGCGAGTGAGGTCACCAGCTTTTGTCTTCCCCTTTATTTCCCTGGAATGGGTTCTCTGCTGGCCGGTTATTATGAGCGACACGTCAAGGGGACCTCATAATTGGCAAAAAAACAAGCTCCGTGTAAGCGACAGGGAACAAGAGGCCTCCTCCTGTTCTGGAACTCCCCAACTCCTCCAATAAGCTTGATTCAGGTTCCACTGGCATCATTGGCAGCCACAACGCAAGCTAACATGACTGAGTGGCTGTATTCGTGTCCATGGCCAGGCGGTGATAATCAGCGTGTTCCGGTACACGATTCAGGGCTGTGCAGCTAACCACTTCACTGAGCAATAGCCCATTGGCAGGATCCGTTTGTGGCTCATCAGCTAGTAAACGACTTGCAGTTTTAAATGACCAAAGCCTTTTCCTTGCGGGTCGTCATCAACGACGCGAGAGTTGGTCGTTAATGCTCGCAGGGATTAGCCTTTGCCAAGCCGGCTAACTTTGCCGACCGATCTGCTTATGCCTTGGCGATCTGACTACCGCGACGAACAATCAAAATTATGTCATCTATGCATCTCTCTTATCCAATTGCTTTGTTTCTTGGCACTCACATGGCATATTCATTTCCGCCTTATATCCCACTCTGCTTGTTTTAGACTTTCACTTCTTGCATCGTCGTACAACTTTAACTTGAATAACACGCGATGAAACAGTCCCATGTCAGGAAACTGTCGTCATTTCAAAACTGTGGTTGATGCTACTCTTCTTTCTCTCACAATATAGTGAGCTTTACCACAGTTTCCAATTTATGCATAAATCGGGATTAAATTTTTTTATGCCGGTCATCACAAAGCGATAAGATCCAGTTGCTATCATAACATGGTCTCTGTATTTAAATGGTTCTAAATACGCGAGCTTCGCTGATATGCATTGTATGCTGCGCTTGATCTCTTTCCCGTCCGACCAAAAGATGAGCTATATGGCCTCGTGGCTATAGCTCAGGTATCATCAAATTGCAAAGCCACAATGCTCCAAAACGCCGTTCCTCTTCTCTTGGCTGCCTTTTCACTTCAGAAAACCCATGCATGCCATATCGGCTAAAGCCATTTTCCCACTAAACGCTCTCTTAGATGCGCCCTCGCGGGCTGGAAACGCCTGTTCCTGCAGCTTTCATTGCTTACTTGAAAACCAGTCCAAATCATTTCAAAGCCCATGTCCCATTTTGAATTCCATGCGTCTCAGTGTATGCTTAAATCCAGTCTCCGCCTCCAAGATCCGCATCCATCTCCGGCTCAGGCAATGGGTTTTTTCGAGGTCGTCCCCTTTTTCGTGGCTGGGAGTCAGAACGCGCCCGTTTCTTACGCCCACCGGGCGTGTGTCCTCCCTTTCGCTTGCGTCCCCTATCCGCAACAGCGTCGCCTTCTTCATCCTCGTCTGCGCTTGGAGTCGATGGCCCCAGGTCCATCTGTTCGCCGTCATCGGCGACCTTGAACTCCTTGTCAACGTTGAGGAGTTCCACAAGGTCAGTACACTTCCTAACCATTCGCTCTTGATCCTCAAGTCCAGCCATATGAGACTCGATCTCATCCCAGACCTTATCTCCGTGAACTCCTGGGACCTTGACTGGTGTCTTGTTGAGATCTTTGGCCAGTGCTTTGGCCTTGCTGTCGTGTCGGCTAGTCCCCATACCGTAAAGTCGGCGCAGATACGTTCGCGTCTCCCACATTGCTAGTAGAATGATGGACGCCGTTGTGAGCTGACGAAGACGGCTGGGTTCAACGTTGGCTGTGATCGCGAGAGCTGCCGTGGCCTGTTCACCCACAGGTGCCGCTAGACCCATTGACTCGTTCTGAGTTCCGGGGATGGTCGCTGGGGCTTCAGACGCCGATGATTGCAGGGCATCCACGCGAACATTGAAAACTTCCGACTCGATGGCCTGGGCGACTGGAGCGCCTGTGCTCGTCACGATTTTTTCGATCGCATTGACTGTGGTCTGCAACTCTCCAACCGTCTGATATTCGAAGAAGGCCAGATTCTCGGTGATGAATCGTGCAAAGGTCATGTGGGATGGGACTTCCTCGCTTGTATCGAGTTTGACTAGATCAAAGTCCAGCTGGCCACAGAGTTTATCTAAAAAGCGCTGACGATTCTTCATTTTGCTAATCTTGAGCACCTCCATCAAGAAGTGTAACTTGGACTGAAAGGGGTTGGTTGTGGCGCCGCGAGTGTCTTCCACTACATCGCGTTGATAGGCAAAGGCCGATTGTACTGCTTTGGCGTATTCTCGTTCCAGAACAGTTTCGTGCTTTTCATGCGAATATCGATGCTCAGAGAAGGCCAGCTCTGCAATCCTGCGGTTTGTCGATGTTTCGAGAGTCATCAAGGTGACGCAAGTTTCCTTGGGATGCGTCAGGCCTTGTCGGTTAATGCTACCGAGAACCTCCGTGGCGAGAAAAGCATGGTCACCCTGGCTTGAAACTGCGATTCGGGAAACGTGCTTCAAGAATCTCTGTGAGGTGGCGCTAGCGACATCGTCAAAATTTGTCCCTCCCATAACTGTCAGCTCCCTCTTCTTGCCTGTAGCTGGCGCTTCCGCTGCTGTTTCAGATCGCTTTTCTTCCATAAGAAGAAACTCTCTGATTGATCTCAAAATGAGCACCTCGAGACCGGGTATCTTCTCTTTGAAAACCTGATCAAACAAGGTATACAATTTAGGAACAACATAGTTGCGAGGCCATGCTTGGCAAATCAATCCAAGGGCGTCGAGCGCTGACTTGCGGATCTCGAGTGGTTTAGAAGGTGCAGCAAGAGGTATCAGCTTCTCGATGGCGAGCATAGGAACGGATTCTCCTTTCCAGGTAGGCAACTTCGACTTGAACCAAGTAGTCCATTCGTCGAGCTTGCAATGTTTTGCGATCATGCCAATTAGTAAACTATATCCATAGGTAAGGGTGGTTGCCGTCTGGTCGATAGGCCTCGCCTGGATTTGGTCGAGTTTCTGAATGCTGGAATGTAGAGCAAAAACCAGAGGCGTGTAATTATTGAGTAACCCACAAACAACCTGAGTACAGGCAACCAGATCGTCGAGAGGGTTTCGTTGGTTGACCTTTGAGATAGCTTTGAGCAGGAAGCTGCGTACTTCAGACAGAAACTCGGCATGAACACTGGAAAGAGTGGGTAGCACTCGGCGATAAATGATTGTCACATGCCTGAAAGCAGCTAACTCCTCTGGCGTGGAGAAGTTCGCAAGATGTGGTTTCAGAAGGCGTATCTGTTCGAAGTTGAACAGCTTGGGCTCGGCATTGGCAAATATCGTAAGCACCTGCAGCGCATCGCGCCCAGACGGGATTGACGGATCATCCGGGTCAAGGTTGTCGATTAATCCAAACATGTTGGCAACGAGCTTGGTGCAGACTGTGAAAGGTCCACCCAGAGACTTATCCTTTGGTTTCAAGATGGTTCGGAACACCTTGTCGAGCATTTCAGTGACCGTACCAGACTTGACAGTCTGGATAACGAGCGATACATGCTCATTGAGTGAAGTTTGGTAAACCGCGGTTCCGTCGTCTTGATAAAAGGGCGCAAACCAAACCTCCTCTATCATCTGGCGGGCTAGGTCGCGGACACCTTCATCGGGATCCTGTACTCGACGCAACAACCCGCTCGCTATCATGCTGCGGAGTGTCTTGCTTGGATTGCGAAGATAGATATCGCGAGTAAGTTTCATTGCACGTTTTCGTACACCAAGGCCATTATCATGGAATCGATTGACAATCATGGGAGTCAATAAGGTCTCAAGACGTGGTCGCATTGTCATGCAGTTACCGAGCAGTCCGAGAGCAGAGTCTCGCACTTGAATTGATGAATCGCCAGCGCATTCCAGAATCAAGTCAATCACGGTATTGTCGGCATCCAAGATTGAGGGATCGGTCTCGAGGACTTGATTGACGCTCTTGAGACTTCGACTTCGGACTGTAGCTTGGTCACTAGCCATAGAGCCAAGAAGAATGTTCAGAATCTTGCTGAAAGCTTCACATAGTGGTGAACGTAGCAAGATGATCGAGTAAGAAAGTTTGGCTTGATTTGTCGAGACAGTCTTGAACGTGTATTCGTTGACGAGCCATCGCCGATCCTCAACCATCATCCTCAATCGATAAGCCAGACGTCCGAGTTCCTCATCTCGTTCGTCATCTTCATCTGTGTAAGAGTCGTAGCCAACATGTACCTGGGACGCCCAGCCCGTAATGAGAAACGAGATGGCACTTGACAGGTGCGGATCTTCGTCGCTCCTGTTCTGGACATGCTCTAGAACGATCCGATAGGGCCCAGTCCAAGTTACCAGCTGGTCCAAGCGAGTTTTGTGTTCCAGAGCTTGATTAGCGACATCGGCAAGATATTCTGACAATTCGTCACTGTCAGTCCCATCAGAGGAACTCGTAAGGCTTTGAACACGAGAACGGAGGCGAGAAATGGCAGCACTCAGTCCGCCCAATAACTCCAGTGCCATGTTCTTCGCCGGGGCAGCAGTCTTGGGTGCTTCGAAAAGCTGGACCATCATGATCATCAGAAGGCGAAGCAACAGTTCAGCTGATGGCCAGTCCGGCGAATCAAGACAAGTAGTAAAATCTTCCACGAAAAGATCAAGAAGATTTCGGTAAGGGGTATCTCCAGATTTGGTTGAGCCGATGGCACGTTTGACGATGAAGCTTATCACATAGGACGCATTGCGCTGCGCCGCATCGGACAACGGAGCAACAGAGATCTCGAGGTCTTTGATAGCAACAGCGTGTTGCTTCGCGCCCTGTACCTCGCTCTTTATCGAGGAAACAAATTGCCCTGCGAGTGGTGCGCGATCATCTTCATCAGAGCTTTCTTCTTGCTCGTTATTGGGATTTTTATCGAGGTTACGCATCAATTTACTGCGTGATCGATTTTTGTTGTTATCCACTCGCCCGGAACTAGCTTGCACCAGCCTCATGATCAAAGCTGACACAGGCTGGATATTTTTCCCATCAGATAGCTTGAACTGTCGAGCACTTTGCTTACCAACAGGGAGCTTTTCCAGGGATGTGAGAATTTCGTCAATGATGCCTTGGCGTTGCTCAGGTTTGATCAAGAAAATCTGCGAAAGCATGTCCATTGCCACGGACCGAAGCCCGTCAAACTTTTGAACTCCCACGACAGAGTCCTTCTCAAAGTATGCATTCTCCATGAAAATGAGTCGGGACGCGGTATATTCTAGTGAGTTGATCACTGACTCGGAGAGCTCGATCTTAGTAACAAGCTCCGCTAACAAGGCGAATAACTTCTGGCAAGAGAGGAAGACAGCTGTGATAATTTTCTTGTTCTTCGATAGCAGCTTGAAAACAACCGATGCAGGTCCAGATGGCCGAAGTTCTACAAGAGGCATGACAATGTCCTCAGTGACCTTCCTGAAGATATCAGCGCACCTCTGGATAACAGATTCTGAATATAACTGCTTGTCTTCTCGTCCGCCCGAGAGAATGCGCAGGCATGTACGAGCTGACTTCAGCATTGTCTCCACATCTGAAAGCTGTTGTATCCATATGTCAATGGCATCTTCGCCCCAAGTCTCATCGACTCGGATCTCCAGGTTCTCAACTTGCTTCAAGCTGGCATCACTCAGTCTGATTATCTGAATCAGATGCTCTACTGGGACACGGTCGAAACACCTTAGAGCAATCGTCTTCTGAATCGCACCATGCATCTTCTGCTGCGAAGAGGCGGTCATAGCAACCTCTTGATCTGGTGTCATAGAAACGATTTCGTCTTGTCCGGGTCCTTCTCCGAGCATTCGCCCTACCGAGTTGAAAACAACGCGTACAAGTTTATCGAGTGCATGCAGAGCTGCCTCGCTACGTTGACGTTGATCGAGGCTTTCTCCAATCAGATCTGGACTATGAGAATAGGCTTGCTGGCTCTCTTTTCGAACTGATAGGTGATGGGGGTCCTCCGGGCGAGCTTCGACCTCGATGTACTCTTCTCGATTGATATACGCAGCTGGTAGCTCGATTCGAAACGCCCCATTCTGGTTAGCTTCAGTGGTAGCTTGCATAGGGAGCTGGGCTATCGGGGCCGGAGGCTGCACCATCGGCTGTATTCGCTGTTGCTCATGTTGGACTGGAACAACTGGAATGTCACGCTGAGGCGCATCGCTCACGTCGACGTAGGTTGAATGATCAAATTGTCTCTTAGACGGTATCGCGACTTCGATCCTAACGGAGCTTGACTTGTGTGCTTGAGAGTTATGCGCCGGCAAATTGGACGGTTGTGGCGGATTCGGGGAGTTTATGGAAGATGGCCGTTGTTTGGGGGTCGGGTGGGCTGCTGCTTGGCCGTTGACCTGCTTGGCCTCAGAAGCCAAGGGTTTTGTCGTCTTGAAATAGCCTCCCACTTTATCGAAGACATTTCTCGTGAGCGGCGACAGCCCATCAATGAGGCTCTTGCCGGTATGGGGGGTCGATTTCATTCCTGAAATTGCGGTAAACTTGCTACTCAATAGTCAGAATGTGATCCATAGTATGCGCGGCATGTTTCTCATACTAATGCGTTCGTTGACTTGGTTTGATTTCTTGGAGGACATGGTCAACCGCTTGCTTTACGTTGCGCGGCATCTGATTATGGCCCGCTGCTTCCTTATTTAGGTTGTTGAAATCGTGTGTTTGAAATAGGTCGGTCAGAGGGAGCGCAGGGGAGCCTGAGCCTAGAACGGGGTCGGGGATGATGTCTGACTAGAGTTAGATGACGATATGTCGAGAAGCGATGATAACTGACCAGAAATGAGAGGAATGGTTGAAGTCTGTGGTGAATAAGGGAGCGCCTCTTGTAGTGTGAACGGACGAGCAATAATACCCTCCTCAGCCCCCGTTTGAGCAAACTGCCCATTTGGGTCCGCCCCATGCTGCTGCGTGTTGTTCATTGTCGCAAAAGAGAAGGCGGTTCATCGCATATCTTGGTTCGAAAGGAAGGAGCAAACGGATACCAGCGCATCGGGATACTAGCAGGATAGGGTCAGGTACGGATCAAAAGACACGATCCAAGCGCGTATGCAGAGGAAATATGTTCTCAGGATGCATATAGTCGGAGTCGCGGTAAGGTGACTGGGCTGAAAAAGCAACGGGATTAAATGCAGCTAAGCATTGTTACCCGCTTTGAGTGAAAGTAAACGACGAGGTCAAAGCCTGGGGAAACCAACATGATCAGCCTCGCGAGCTTTGAACTTTCCTTGGATGTTTTCGAGACAGCTACTGGTCTGTGCGCCAAACGCACCACCACTCAGAAGCTATTCCGATCCGATCCACTCTTGCCTCGTCAGTTTTTCCGGAAGACCCTTGCAACCTTCCATTTGAGCCTATGATGGCTGGGCCAATTTTTTTGTCTCTGGATTTGTTCAGCTTGCGCAAGTTGTAAACCAAGTTCTTCAATTGTGTAGAAACTCGCTCACGACTCACAATGGCTGCGATCGGAACTCTCGTATTTTGTACCGACTGTGGTAATCTGTTACCTGCAACGAAAGGAACCCAGCGAAATGTTTTGCATTGCGAATGCTGTGGTGCAGAGAATCGAGGTCTGTACGCTTGGGGTGGTATTTGGCAAAATATCTAACAGGTTGTGCAGATACCGGTTCCAAAGTTACCGTTACGCAAACAAAACCCTCCGATTTCCCTTCTTTCTTGAGACAGAAGCTCCAGTCAAGCGTTCAGGCTGTTGAGAAACACAATTTGCAAACCGATAGCACCGTTCATGAGACATGCCCCAAATGCGGTCGTGAAGAGGTCAAGTATACCAATGTTCAACTGCGCGGTGCAGATGAAGGTTCAACGGTCATCTACCTTTGCGATTGCGGCAACTCGTGAGAATCCCGAATCCATCTATTTTAACTAATCTAACATTGACTTTTAGGTGGCATGAAAACAACTAGACGTAATACTCGACAACGCGAGCGTATTCATAAATCATGCAGAAACTCCTGCGGTCTCGGGAATCAAAGCATACTCGGCCTCTCCACCCTTCTCATACTCAGCGATATCTAGCGCAACAATGCAACTCTCTCGAACAACCTTTTCCTTGTCATGAAGGAACTTTCTAAGGGTATCCTCGACACCCTCCTCCTCACCCAGGCTGCCAAGTGCCTCAGCCGCTTCATGTCGAACCATACTGGCCTCGTTGACGTTGCCCAACGCCTCAGTCAGGGCTGGAATAGAAGCGGGGTGCGAAAGCTGGCCGAACACAAAGGCGATCTCGTGTCGGAAGAGTGCGGACGAGTCGGACAATCCTTTAGCAAGAGCGAGAACGGCAGGGACAGCAGTGGGCAGGTCGGGAGGCGAAGCCAGGTCTCGGAGAGCAAACATGGCGCGGTAACGGAGGAACAGAGGCAGATTTGTATCCATGAGCTTGCGGCCAAGCTCCTCGACTTCAGCCTTCTGTTCGGATTCGGGCATTGGGGGCGCAGGATCGATAGAGGCAAAATCACTAGGCGACAATGTTAATCAGGGGCAACCCCAATATATCTTTTCACAAACCTAGGGCGCAACTTTTCCTTTCGTCGCTCTTCTGAGTTCTCCCACTCAATGCGCTCAATGGCGATCTCGCATGTCTCGATAATGCTTATGTCCTCCTCTTTGCGATCTCGGTACTCGCGGAGGATGTCCAGGTTGTCGGCCCAACCTAAGGCACCAAGGGCTTCGGCGGCTTCGTGACGACACATAGGGTCCTCCTTCAAATCAGCCAGAACCTGTCGGAGAGGCTTGACGGCAGCGGGGTTGCCTGTCTGGCCGAGACAGTATGCGAGCTCATGCTTGAGCAAGGCCGAGGGCGAAGTGAATCCGGCGGCGATGGCTTCGATGGCCGCAACCCTTGTAGCATCATCGTCTGAGGTGGTCGCAACGTGCTTCAGTGAGAAGAGAGCACGAAAACGGATGGGAAGAGGGGTGTCCTCAGAACAGAGGGATTTCCTCAAACTCAGAACCGTGGAATCGGCTGAGTTAGAGGTCTCTGGGGTATCAGCAGAAGGAGACATTTTGTGGTATTGGTTGGAAATAGATCTTGATATCGTAGGGTGCTTCTAGATCAGCTCAGAATAAAATCTTCGCGGGGTCCTGAGCTTATCTTATCTCAGACAAATGTGAAATAACCCCGCCACTGATCGGCTTTTTTTTTATGGTGTGCCTGTCATGAGTTTTGGGCAGATCGTCGCCTTTAGCCGGTCCGATAACCGGCGCTCTCAGCATGTTGAGTATAAAAAGGCAGGAAACATTTGAAAGCTTATTATATCTGTATTGCTGATGCGACGGTTTTCGAATTAACCTGCGATCACCGAGGCTTTCGTACCAGTCTCAGTGTCAGTGAGACTATTGAGCGTTAGTACAGTTGTGATTAGTATCATTGAGCCATATCACTGGAAATGATTAAAAGTGTTTGGTTTTGAGGTTGTATATGGCACGAAAATGTTAATGCTTACTATCAGGAAGTCTCTGGATAAATATTTATTGGTAAAGCTCTTCTTTCAAAGCATATGGCATATTAAGTAGTTTATGATCCGAACTCATTGATCTCTCCTTTCATCTTTCTCACACCTAAGTATCCCTCGGCTACCTCTAAACAAATGTTTCTCACTGTATACACAATATGCCGAGATTTTGGGGAACAGGGAGATTTCCATAGTAATCTCACCTACCACGACTTTCTTCGTAAAGCTAGTATATCTATGGATCTTTATCACTTCATTGTATCTTGACTCATTAGCATTTGTTACTCCGCGGCGATACTACACATCGCCCGACGCTTGCTAAGCAACCAATCAACATAGACGCTTAGCACTTACCCTAGGAACAACCACATCGATGATCTTAACCACGCCAACCTTCTTTCAACTATCTCAAAAAAAAAATTGTCCAGACAGATACGATACGATATCCCACATAGGAAGAATTCACTCTCACTTCTCATTCTTTTTTTATATTGTATTCCTCGCAGTTCAGGACAACCCGAAAAGTGCAGTGTCTGTCCATTATTAAGCTTCGAGCTCACGTTGCCACCTCCGACTCACTTTCCCTCACTTCACCTCATTTCACAAAAAGACAATGGCACCCTCTCTTGAAGCCCCAGAGGCTGTAGACGATGTTCTCGCAAACCCGATCAAGCAGAAGCCGCAACTAGTTGCCCCAGAGCCTCAGAACTGTGTTGGCCCGGATTCAGAGCAAGCCGGTAAAGCGGACGCATGCGCCGGGTGTCCAAACCAGGCCATCTGCGCATCAGCGCCCAAGGGACCCGACCCTGATATCCCTATCATCTCAGCGCGCCTGGAGAATGTCAAGCACAAAATTCTAGTACTAAGCGGAAAGGGCGGCGTCGGAAAGAGTACATTTACATCCCTGTTGGCACACGCCTTTGCGACAAATCCAGACAGCACTGTGGGTATCATGGACACTGATATCTGTGGACCCAGTATTCCCAAGATGATGGGCGTGGAGGGTGAGACTGTGCATGTCAGCGGTACAGGTTGGTCACCTATCTGGGTCATGGACAACCTCTCTGTCATGAGTATTCAGTTTCTACTGCCCAACCGAGATGACGCTGTCATTTGGCGGGGACCCAAGAAGAACGGTCTGATCAAGCAATTTCTCAAGGATGTGGAATGGGGTGACCTTGACTTTTTGCTTGTCGACACACCACCAGGCACGAGCGACGAGCATCTCAGTGTAAACTCATTCCTGAAGGAGAGTGGGATCGATGGTGCTGTCATGGTCACCACACCGCAGGAGGTATCACTTTTGGATGTACGAAAAGAGATCGACTTCTGCCGCAAGGCCGGCATCAGGGTGTTAGGTCTTGCAGAGAACATGAGCGGCTTCGTTTGCCCCAATTGTTCAACGGAAAGTCAGATCTTTAAGGCAAGTACAGGAGGAGGACGTGCACTAGCTGAAGAGATGGACATTCCCTTCTTAGGATCAGTGCCCTTGGACCCTAGGATCAGGATGGCATGTGATTACGGAGAGAGTTACTTCGACTCATTCCCAGATAGCCCAGCCTGCATCGCGTTTCAAGGAGTTGTTAAGAACGTTGCGATGCAGTTGGGATTAAATACCCAGGATGTGCTGCCAGATGAGTAGGCAGCCGTCTTGAAGTTACGTTGTTATGTAGATCATGATATGTGGATTTCGCTGCCACGCCGTGTTTCCTTTCTTGTGTCTGCTCCTTGATTACTCTGACTTGAGCTTGTCAGGAATCTCTTCCAAATCTTCCGCTGTCTCTATATCAATAATTCGTCCAACCTCGGCCGTGTTGCGCATCAGCTCCTTGGCGCCTGCGTAGAGCATTCTGATCTCGGCGTTGCAGGTAACCGGGAGGTAGAAGATAAGTACGTATGGCACAGACAAGCGTCCATCACCCTATGCTCATATTAGCATCATGTCAAACATTTCAGATGGTTGTTCGATCAGACATACCATGGTGAGAGGGTAGCTCAGGAGGATGAATCGAGGCGCATGATCGGGGAGGTCATCGCCAATATCTTCGAGGGAAGTATAAACGGTCTTGTCTTCGTCTTGTCGGATTTCGTAAGTGTTCTTATCGATCAGGTCTACAAGAGACGGTTAGCAAGAGGACAGGAACCTATGACTTTCAAGTCGTATCAAGAAGAGACGTACATACAAATAACAGCTTGGGGACCCTTGGCCCGAGAAGTAGTAAGTCTAAACTTGCGGAGGTGGTCCTTTGACTCTCCAGAGAAGGTATACAGTCGTGATTCCGACGCCTAAGCGCATGACGTTAGCGGGCAAACTGGGGATGGAGAGGAGGACAAGTGAGTGGAAGTACCATTGTGAAGCTTTGTTTGAGTTTGCTAATAGGTAAAAGCCCCTTTGTAGCTGTTTTAAACCTGTAACGGATGCCTTAACTTCGTTTAGCAGTTATCAGACGAGTTAAGTTGGTGTAGCCCAATGCCCCGCCAAAGGGTAGCTGTTAACTTGACCCCACATTGTCCCGCCATCGTCTAGCGTAGCGAGTTAACGTCATCTACAGGCTGTTGAAATCGAGACAACATTGGACAATAATAAAGGGAGAAACTTGCATATTTACCCTGCTATCTGCCTATCACCTGATCCTCGAGCTCTCTTACTGCATCTGCCCTTGGCCATCCATGTTCTCACGCATCTCTCAGGTAACCCGGCATCTTTCAGCTCCCGTTGTTAGCAACACCAGACGATTCGCCCTAGGAAGAACCATGGCTCCTATATCGGCAGATGAGCGCAACTCGCGCACCATTTCTACAGCCGCCTGTTTGATCATCGGTGATGAAGTTCTGGGCGGAAAGGTATAGTTATTTGAAAACATCTTACTTTCTGCGTAACACAATGGGGGTCACTGACATCATGAACGTAGACAGTTGATGTGAGTAATTCAAGTATAGGCTAGATATTGAATTAATCCAGATAGACCAACTCTGCCTATTTCGCCAAATGGTGCTTTAACCTCGGAATTGTAAGTCTAGCCATGGATAGCTAAGCATGCGCGAATGCTGAATAGTCATAGAACCTCAAGCGCATCGAGGTTATTGAAGACGATGAAGGCGAGATTGTTGAGGCTGTGCAGAGAATGAGCGACCGCTATGACTTTGTCGTTACTAGGTAAGTCCTTCGGCGACACTACTTGAAGATTGAATAGCTAATATGAATCAGTGGTGGAATCGGGCCTACGTAAGGAATCACTACCCTCGTTTCTGCATGTACTAATATCTTAGACACGACGACATTACTTACCAATCGATCGCCAAGGCCTTTAACCTGCCTCTCAAACTACACCAAGAAACCTTTGACAAGATGAAGCTGATGTCCAAGGTTCATCCCAATCAACCCAAGTTCGATTGGGATGTTGACTCGCCAGCAAGAAGGGCAAAGCTTCGTATGGCTGAGTTGCCAATTGACGAATCTCGGGACCTTAAGAAGCAAGCTCTCTTCCCCCATGATGATCTTTGGGTTCCCGTATCAGTCGTGAACGGAAACATCCATATCTTGCCGGGTATCCCTAGACTTTGTATGTAATTTCCTGAGCGCCGCTTACTATCTGCTGACCGGGAACAGTTCAGAGACTTCTTGAGGGGTTGAAGCCTCACATCCTCCCACGTCTCAGTGACCCTGAGGGGAAAGGTACGCATAGAGTACTGTTCTCTACGCCTCTTCCTGAGAGTGGCGTTGCCGATTATCTCACAACATTGGCTGCCAAAGTTGGGCCCAAGGGTGTCAAGGTCGGAAGTTATCCTCGCTGGGGCAAGAAAAACAACACGGTCACACTCGTTGGACGGTTAGCAGGGAACATTACCAAATGGTCAAGTGAAAAATATGCTGACACAGATATAGGGATCTGGACTATCTCGAGAGTCTCGTTGACGAAGTTCAAGCTGGCATTCAGGGTCTGCGAGTTGATGCCGAGAGCGACGGAGAAGAAGACCCGAAGCAGATCAAGAAGCAGGCGACCGAAGACGCGGACAAGGACACCGCAGAGCAAGTTGTTGAGAAACCTTGATATGTCTTGATAGCTGAGATCGTTGGATTTTTCGAAGTCCACAAGGCATGGCGGCGGGTTATAGTTGCGCTGATCACAGTAACATCCGTTAGAACGGCTATGAAGAATTGCCATTGGCTAGATGGCATGTTTCGTTAATATCCTTGGATATATGTAGACAAGTGTTATAGAATGTTCGGAGTTGCAATCTGATACCGGCGCACGGGCTTGAAACTTTCGGTATTCAACGGCCAAAACCTGGTCATTTCGCCGATCATGGCGCTTTTTGTTCAGACGAGCTGCACAAGCTGCATTCTTCACCAGCAGCTATCTCAGAGCTATCCAACGTGTATGAAATCTAGTACCCGAACTTGTGTGTCGATTTTGCTGTACAACTACCTGTATAGGTAGCTTGCTAAATTTCGAGTCGCCTCCGGATTCAGCACTTGCGGCCAACACATAAAACATATGTCGTACATCCTGGCACAAGGCAAAGGTGTTGGGCTTTTGTTGCATCACACTGACTTTAGGGTTGGCAGCCGAGATAAGACAATGGAGCAGAGTTGAGTCTCATCTCCGAAGCTCTGAGGGGCCGTAACGTAGTATCGGCCTTGAACAACTTGACTTGCTGAAGTCATATAATCATACGATTTTAAGTAACAAGAGGGGTCAGTGATCTGTTGCCTTGCAGATCAACACATGAACATCGACATCGATGAGACGCATCCGCGTGGAAGGCTAGAGAGGGACTCGTGCTTCATGTGATGGCACGCTGTTTTCGGAAGCTGACTCGAGGCTCTTTCCTTTAAGGAACCTGGGGTGCGTTGAACACCAGGGGTATGAACAACGAGGATGGTGGAGGTGGAGTCGATAGATTGTCTTAGGCACATCGTAGCGGCGATAGCAAGGCTCGTGACATGATCGGCGCCGAGATCAGAGGTTAGACCTTGAACAAACCCACGACACCTGAGGGGGAGATTGAGGGATGTCGTGATGTGCGCTTGGCGTGTAGAAATAAGCCAGAGTGTAATCTGCCGAAAAGGGGCTGTTGCTAGGACGAATCCTAGAGGCACATCGAAGTGGATCACGACCTGGAACTGGTGGAGACGGGCGCAAATACAAATGCAAAAGACGTCATTTCGTTCTAGAAGCTGACAATAGAAGTTGTTGGAGATCATTCACATTCAACTTGATTGCACTGATATTGCGTGTGGTTGCATTCGGCCGAAAGGGCCAGAAAGCGGAAATTCATATGAAACAAGCGAAAACACTTTGAATTAATGATTGACAGCATGCCAGCAGCATTGATCACGTAGAGCCGAATGTGAACAGACTCGTGTCATTTCATGAGTTTATGAAGATGTTGATAAACTTCCATGGCAAAGCTCTCGCATAGACTACATGGGATCACGTGCATGCTGCAGCTTTGACAGAAGCCCCACACGCTCCCACCCCACTTCACAAAGAACTCCCGTCGAGCCGCAATATCATAGCTACTTCTTCCTCTCTTCAAGCATCGTCCTCTTCAACGTCGCGCTTCCATGCTACAAACAGATATTTTGCCCCTCCGCAAAATGTCATAAGCTTTTCTGCGAGCAGAAAAAGCCAAAAGCTCGCATGTGAGAAATTCGGAGCATCTTTCCAATCGTTGCCAGTCTTTCGAGAATGGTGGCATACAGCAGTCACTCGCTTTACGAAGTGAGAGGACGTGTCTACCCGTGAGGGCCCAGCGCCAATCGGCGCTCGCAATACAGGCATCAGAAATGACAGGGTCTGGCGAATTGGTTCGCTTTTCGTATCAGATTCCTATGGGAAGCCGTTGCGGAGATTGTGGGAGACTACGGTTGAACACTGGAGTGCGATGCGCGACGTGGCTGCGGCCATAATTCAATTCCGATCATTCTCTAGAGGACGATGCTTCACCTTTCTTTTTCAGGTACGTGATTGCTACTTTTGGTATTTCTAGGGCAAAGAATACTACTAACGATGACATATTGTGGCCCTAGGGAAGAGCCGTGGCGGACCCTACAGGCATAATCGGTTGCCAGGCATGCCCTTTATCGAGACTCGCGAACCATCGTCAATCAACCGACGCGTGGGCTCCAGACTGACATTCAAGAGTCCGTCAAAGCTTCGGTAATGGGCTCGTTTGAGAGCTTCGTTTCTCTAACCATTATCCTAACCCGTTTGATTGACCGAACGCTTATCCCAATATGCAAAGTTTGGCTTTCAGCTCCTGGCTCAGTTAAGGTAGGTTGCTGGCAGAGAATAGTTGTTCTTCCATCATGTGTTATTAGTCGAGTATGTGATTGGCTTTGTAGATTCATCACGCTCCATGGACGGAATTATTGTAACTTCTACGGAGTATCTGGGGTCGGGAACCGACTCCCACCTAGACTCAAGTGGCCAGACACCAACATACATAGCTACTTAGTATTTGCTCCAGTCCGAACTAATACTTTGTCTTTATCTGCTCCGGTCAAATCTTATATAACGTAAACTCCAGTCGACTCAGACTGTGTTAAGTGAAATCTGTTAGCCTGGGATGGTCTCCGGAGTGAGAAGAACCGTAGCTTGATGAAGTCGGCTGAACCTATTGCTATATCAAAGTTAGTTCTTCATATCCCCAACATGTCCCTTATGTAATGTTTTGAGATGGGCAGTTATCTAGAATCTGTATCATGGTGATCAGATTGGGTTATCGACCTAGCCACGCCACGCATCGATCAACCCCCACCCGGCGTTGATCCTGTTGACACACCGTCACATCTTCAACAGCCTCAAACGCGCCAACGCTAGTAGTACAACGTGCTGGAAGGGTGTCATGGTTCATCTGGCGAAAGCGGCGGGTCGCTGCAACGTTGAATGGTTCTGCATTGGAGGATGACAAGAACAAAGGCCATGAGCGTAGTGAAACGTTTGCCCTGTAGGCACTAAGACATTTCCACGATTTATATGGAGGAAAGCCGTGAATAGGGTCAGCTCATGGTTTGATTCCTGAATTCAAACTAGACCGTACAGGAGTCAATACCTTTGCTTTTTTAACCGTTCAATAATACCGCATCTTCAACCTGAGACCAACGATATATATGAGTTATCATGGTAGTCGATAGTGTACGCACTGCGTATAATGTCAGTCCAGACAAAACATCGTACATCATCACAGCAGATTTTAGCGAAAGACAATGAAGGCGAGCACCACTCCTACCGCCCTGCGCATTAGGGACCATGACCCTGGGTTTGGACTCTGAACTAGCCGACTTAAGATTAAGAGCATCGGAGCATGTTAACTTGTCACCCCATTCATTCCCCAGGTCCAGGGGCACACCGATGGAACGGGGTACCTGGACAGTCAGTAAGGGGTGAGGATCGTTGATCTGCATTAGATCAAAGGCATGAGAGGATGACTATGTAGTATGGATAATGGACTCAATGTCATCATTGGCGCGTTGATGTGAAAAAAGTTTGCTTCCTCTTGTCACGAAACTTGCTGTTGGTTGAATCATGACAAGGCGCGGCTTATTCTTTGAAGGTGTTGGCGCTTGGGCCATGGGATTGGATGTAATTGGCCATGATGAAGTTGATAGTGGTGACCGCGACCGTCTAGGCGGCCATTTCGAGTGATAGCTGGATATCTGGGCGCGAAATGGTGAAGGTGATTGCTCAGTCTCAACTATCTATACCCGTGCAATAAGAACGCAGATTTTGTTATAAGAGAAATCCGCCAAGGCTTGCATGACCGAGTGAAAGATGCTGGTGATTAAGAGGACTAGCCATTCAGTCAAAGTGTGAGAATGGCGCCGTGTATGTATTGAATGAAATGTAATGTCCTATCTTGAGATTGCATGTTTAATATCGCGGTGTGTATGGCTCAAACGAAGGCTCTTTAAATCACGAAAGCCAAAGGATCACCCCGTGCTGGTTTTATCCTTGAACTTGATGAACATAGGCATATTAGATGTATACACTCCAACAGATAAGAACCCACAAACAACAGCCATTATTAACAAGTAATAGAGTTAAAATGAACAATTAGAATCGAAAGAGACCATGCATACAGGATAATGCGACATGTCTCACGTCCTGGAAATAACAACTTTATCCGGTATATTCCAAGGATGGCTATTAGATGGTGTGTTATCATCCTGAAGCTGGGCTCCATTACTCGGCGCAGAATGTATATTGATTGAGGTGTGTTTCGTCTAATATGGTTTATAGGTCGTGGAATAATGTCTCGGTTACTTCAAGAACAACAAACAAAAAATGGAGAAGACAGCCCGTCGCAATTATTAACGGTACATAATGTGTATGGATGGTCGGCCTCATTTACATGGCCCCGACCGAAAAGGCCTGGGTTACGGCGCCGGTGTATCTCGGGGGTGTTCCGCCGTCCATTCTCCTGCCTTAGCGAGTAAGACGATGGGGTTAGAAGAACGGGCTAATTTGTTCTATAAATCGTAGCTTAAAAAGAAGCGCGGAATAACTTTTAGACTTGACATGTCACAACCAAGGATGAGGCGTGCCCTGGGTAGCCGTTAAGGATCTGCACCCTCGCTTGCTGTTGCTGGTCAGTGACCGGTAGCTCGGTGTTGTGATGAATCGAGCCCAGTGAAGAGACGACCCTTGGCCTGGTAGGCAAATTATTACATCCAGGGACTTTAATCCATTGCCCCTATTCCACCCACTCCTGCTGCCACCCCTCATCGGTCTGCACAGTGGGAGTGTCATCTTGGTATAGGGAACGGATGCGGATACTTCGTTTGTGGTATTGGAGGCCATCGCATCATCGATTATAGCATATGCGTCCGTTGTGGGAACACAAGCACGCGGATACGGTGAGGAATTGCTGCAGCAAAACGTGCAGGACAATGCACAATCAACTGCATAGCACGTTACGGTGTGCTTACGATTGGTAGAGCAGACGCAGCCAGCCGCTGCCCTTGCAGAACTGCATGGAGGAGGCCAGCAACAGGGAGCAACAAGGCCAATTGTTAATCAGCGACAACTGGTACTGCTCAACAGCAACTGCAAAGCCAAGCCCAAGCCCAAGCACAAGCAAGGATCCCCATGTCTTGGCCCACACCCGACTCGTTAAGTTGTTTGCACGCCCCTCCCCCATACCAACCTCGTGTGCCTGTCTTTCCAGTGGAAGAGCTGCTGGAAGGCCACTGAAAATCGGTTACTGGCAGCCCACTGGGGCCAAAAATTCAACATCGAATCGTTGCTGCAGGCATGATCAGTCCAATCCAACGTCTCTCACCATCATGAGTCGAAAAAGATACGGAGGCGACCGAATAGCAAGGGGAAAAATTTCTTCCCTTTATTTCTTTACAGCTTTTTTTCTTGCCTCATTACGAAACTTTGCTTGCCTCCGCGTTAAACTTGCCAAATAACAAGAGCAAGACAAGGCCCAGTTCCAGCTCTGTTCATTCTGTTGAGCACTAGCCACTACAGACAGTAGCTAAATCCCGCTGTCCGGGCGGTTGGTTTTCCAGCCACTCTTGTTGTGACATTGTTGATGCTTCTCTTCAGTTTCCTTTGGAATAGAGGCTTCAATCACTTAGTGGCATGGTCGGCGGCGCCTCTAGGCGTTGTGGTAGGGCTACAAGAGAGCAAATGATAGGTTGATCCTGTGATTTCCCACACTAGTTGACAGTGAATCATCTTCTCCTATGCCATAAACGGGCATTTCTAGATTCCGTAGAATGATATCCCCATGCTTTACCAACCAACAGCCAACAGCCAACACTCAACCACAAGCTTGCCGCCTCTACCAATGCCATGAATTGCATCTCTATCTGAATACCGTCCCTCCACTACGCACACTCTAGAGGTTGGGCTTTATCGACCCTAGCCTAGCCACCAATCCGGCCATCGGGTGTTCCCCTCCAAAGGTCTAGATACATATCCACTGACAGGACGGGAACGGGAAGTCTCCAGTGATCCCTCCATCCATCCATTCTAACTATCTATCTCAGCGCTCGGGAGCGCCCAGAGACATTGGCCACCTGGAAAGCCGTGGGGTGATGGTGATGGTGCTCTGGTGTTAGCGTTGGTGTCAGTATGTGTTCTGGGTGCGCACTGAGCGCTTCATGAGCAGGAGTGATACTCAGTTGTCAATTGGGACAAGGTCAGCCTGGTCATGAGAAACTCGTTCCCGTCTGTTCCTTTCTTTATTATCTCTAAGTCTTTGGACTTGTCAATTGGTTCTGAAGCCTCTGTTTGTCGTTGTGTATCGGATACTTGCCTCTCCACAAGTCAAGAAAAGAGCAACCGCAAACACCCAGCAAGCGCGAGAAAATGGCTGAAAGTTCCTAATACTTTGTCTTGATTCTGGGATTGTTACTGATTCGATGCAAAATTCGGACAATCGAAGAGTACCTTGTACCCTCAACTGCCCCATCCATTCCTCCCAATCTATCGACGCCCCCCTTCTGCCCCTTCCCCTTCCCAGTCCCTTGCTCCCCTTCCAGGATGCTTTCCTACCCTGGCCTTTCGACCCTTTCCCCTTTCAGGCCTTGTTCCCCTTCTCTCTCCTGGTCACTTCAGTCTACCCTCGACTCTTTCTGCTTTGACCTTTTTTTCGAACCCATTTGGCCCATTCGAATCGTCTCTCCCTCTCTCCACACATTCAGAGCTAGAATCCGCTCGCCCCAGCGGCAAATCATTCAGTGCAATTCAGTTCAGTTCAGTTCATTTCGTCCTGTTCTCTGTCTCCCTTTGTTCTTTGCATCATCTCGTACCGACCGCAAACAGCGCCTTTCTCCTCGATCTCCTCGTTGTCTCGTCCTGTCCTTGGTTGTTCGCCTCTCAAATCCAATTCTCACGACCTCCCGGATCTTCATTCACGACGACAAGTCCCGAGCAAGAGATATCATTATCAGGGAGCGCATCTTGAACTCTAATCACAATGGCTGCGAACACAAAGGTAAAGCGCGAGACAACACCGTCTGAGAGCACCTGTCATCGGATTTCTTCAACATAACACTGCATCATCTCACCACACATGATCGATCGTGTTGCTGACCGTTCATTAGTTCCTGCGAGAGTACAAGCTCGTTGTTGTAGGCGGCGGTGGTGTTGGTAAATCCTGCTTGACTATTCAGTTGATCCAGAGCCATTTCGTCGACGAGTATGACCCCACAATCGAAGGTTGGTACACTCTAAATCCCTTTACGTGATTATCACGTCGCGTCAGGATCAGTATTAACCCAACGTCAACTATAGACTCGTACCGAAAGCAGTGTGTTATTGATGAGGAGGTCGCACTGCTCGATGTTCTCGACACAGCCGGCCAGGAGGAGTATAGCGCCATGCGCGAGCAGTACATGCGAACCGGAGAGGGATTTCTGCTAGTCTATTCGATTACTTCGCGACAAAGCTTTGAGGAAATCACCACCTTCCAGCAACAGATTCTGCGAGTCAAGGATAAGGACTATTTCCCCATGGTCGTTGTTGGTAACAAGTGCGATCTGGAAGGCGACCGAGACGTGTCACGACAGGGTACGTTGTATAGCGAGTTAGCTTAAACATCAATAACTGACAATCGAAACAGAGGGAGAGGCACTGGCAAGGTCGTTCGGTTGCAAGTTCATTGAAACATCCGCCAAGTCTCGAATCAACGTTGATAAGGCCTTCTACGATATCGTACGAGAGATCCGAAGATACAACCGCGAGATGCAGGGCTACTCAACTGGCAGCGGCGGTACCTCGGGCGCGAACGGCCCCCCAAAGCCCATGGACATGGACAACGGCGAGCAAGAAGCTGGATGCTGTGCCAAGTGTGTACTGATGTAAAGGGAATAACATCTGAGGGCGAAAGGCGTACATCTCGAGACGAGGCGGGATGTGATCGGCAGGATATACCCGATATGTCCGGTTTCTGTCAACCGCACGCGACACGATGTGAGGATGCAATATAACCAACAGGCTTTAGGAAGAGCACGGAGATAAAAAAGTTGATTGCATCGGACGGGAGTCAGGATCTGGGTTCACATTCACGTTTGATTTGGACGCGGCCTACGGAGATACCCCAGCGACATGGGATTTAGGGACCCGGTGTGCTTATGACAAAGAAATGTCTTTGTGAGTAATGCCGATGGTTCATGGTTAATGACCCACGATCCATACGACATGGAACATGGATCGGCGTTTCTCTGGAGTGGCTCGCTATCTTGGACGTTGTGGATAAACAAAGAAAAGAATCGTCTTCATACTGGAAGAGAGAGAAAGACAGGGGAGGGGGTTTGCTGCTGACATTGTGCATGCCAGCAACGCAATGCAATGAGTGCTACTCATCCCTTCCATGGACCTCGCGAGAGACAAAATTCACCCGACCATTTCTTTTTTTGTTTTGTGTTACCAGGGAGGATGAATTTTTTTTTTTCAAAGTACGGCTTCAGGTTCTCTATATCCTTATTTCATACATGTAATTTTTTGCTTCTATTTTTCAGTTTGTCAATCTCGAGGTCTCCTTCTCTCCAGCAGCAATGGTTCAGTCAGACAATACAAGCACACACCCTTTTTCTTACGGTTCAAATACTTTCGTCTTTGTCCCTTGATGCAGAACATTCCGTTCAACTGTGTTTTCAGCCACATGGCTTTTCTCATAAAAACAATCCGGAATGCTTCATATCCGAGATTCCTCAGTGTGTCCTTTGACTACCTTATCCTATGCATAACAGGGTGAATAAGTTCCTCAGTCACTAAGTTAGGTCAGTCTCAGCCCATCTGCGTCGACACCTGCTTACATATGAAAACTGATAAGTCAATTACAAGTCTAGGTTCTGTCTCAGAAATGCCAAACTCCTGAATCCTGCCACCTTAAATTCACGTTAACTAGTGTTTTCAGCCATCCATCGTCTCGACCTCCTCTTCCTCAAGAACCCTGCCTGGGGTTATCTTTCGACGCGGATTGAGAATTTCGCGTCCAATGTTTAAGTTCCACAACGGCTTATCAATCGCCTTGGGCTGGTTGTTCCCGTCGTTCTGTACATTCACGACCCAATCATTGCAAACGACACATGCCCAGGCCGTTGGCGCGCCTGTTACAAAGCCACTGAAGTTCGCCGATACATTGACCTGCTCACTAGGCTTTTGCGCAAGGCAACTGGGACACACTGCCTTCTTGAAGCGCGAAAGCCGCCATTCTTGCATCAATGCCGAGTGTTTCATAACCTCTTCGGCATAATACAATCTATGGAACCGGCAAAGTGATGTTCCCAGCATTCTGTTGGCACACGAACAGCCTGTCAGAGCCTCGGTATTGCTGATGAACTCGGCGGTTTTTGACGGGTCATTGTCGGGTTTCTGTATGTTTTGGGGATTTTCTTCATCAGCAGCAATGCCATAGACCCGCCTGGCACCGATAGTTTGGTTCTGGGTCGCGTTATGAGCACCGCTGCTCATCTGGCCAGCACAGTCATTGCAGAGATAAGCACGCATGCTGAGCAGTTCACCTTCAGTTATGGGATTGTGCTCATGTTTGAACAAGTACCTCACGTTGCCCCGGGTACAGCCATCGCATACCGGGAAGTATCCTGGTACTGTGTTGCGATGGGCAAGACTCTGGCAAGTAGCCTGATCTCGCTCGTTGGTGTTCCAAGAGCCACAATAACCCTTTCCGCCCTCTCCCGGCTCAGCGCAATAGCGCAATGTCCTCTCACCCCTCTGCTTGTAAGATACGTCACCAAGAACATCACGTGAAGGCGCAGGTTGGTCTGTTTGACCATTGACAACGGAAAAGAGGCGCGGCTGAGATTCGTCTTGAGCTTCTTTAGACTTTGACTCATACCATTCGTCCATGTCAATACCCTCGAGATGGTTGAAGACCTTCCAGCGTGAGCTCTTTGGCTTTTCCTTGAACCGAGGTTTCTGGTCCGGACCGAATGTGAAACCGAGGAAAGGATTGAAAGCTTCTTGAGTGTTTGCGCTCTTGGGGACCCGGTTCCCGAAAGCCATTCTCTCCCGCAATGGCCCTTTGCTGCCTTTGGAGGTCTTGGTATTATGCCAGCGCTCCTCACGATTCACTCGGGAGCGGTGATAAGTCTTCGTGATTCCGCGGGCATAATCCACTATCCGATCAATATCCGGCTCAGATCCATCGGAAGATCCGGTATGAGCCTGGTCTTGGGCCTGACCTTGAGTCTGCGGACCATTGAGTGATTCTTGTTGGCCATTTTCAACATCATGAGCCTCGGGCAGAGCCGGGATGGCACTGCCATCAGCAAAGATCAGACGTTCACCATATCCAACGTCTTCGTTTTCTTGCTCATCTGCTATAACTTGGTCTCGCTGCATTTGTAGTGCTAGCTGCAGCTGGTCATACACGTATTGGTTATACTTCAATTCTCCGTTTTCTCGCTGATCCGCTGGACCTTGAGATGGCTGCATTGGCTGCTGTGTATGGGCATCTAGTTGCTGTTGATTCAAGCCTCTGTATTCTTGCTCGTCTGCTGCTGGGCTTTGAGATGGCTGCATTGGCTGTGCCTGCTGTGTATGGGCATCTAGTTGCTGTTGATTCAAGCCTCCGGATTCTTGCTGTGCCGCTGGCCCTTGATATGGCTGTATTTGCTGCGCATTTGGTGGGTGTTGTTGTTGATAACCTTCGTATTGTATTAGTCCCCTTGGCAATTGGTTTGGCAGTATTTGTGGTATCCCATGTGATTGTGTGGCGCCCGGATATCCATAAACACTTGGAAGCCCACCACCTTGTATCCTCTCAATGTCAATGAGCACAGGACCTCCCTGAAAGCTGCGCACGCTTTGCGTCGCAGCTGTCAAGCTGGGCCCCACATCGGCCTGCGACATCTTGAGGCTCTGACTGTCGCGCAAAAGCGTCCAAACTCTCTGGTACAATTGGAGATTGCTCTTTGGAACTTGGGGGCTATGCCAAAGCTGAGTGATGAAGTTGCCCAACTGTTGAGCAGTTAAGTCCTTCAGTGACCTGCCCCTCAACATATTTCCGTTAGGGGGAGGCACGCCGTTTGGCGGGCGATGATGTCGGTGAGCGTTGGCTACGGTTTGATAATGCCGCGGGCGATCCTTGGTGTCGGTCAGGGCGTACACAGGAGCAACAGGACCGATCCAATGCTCAAGGTGTCGGCCATCCTTGATATCGTCGACACCGGAAGGGCCATATCCCAAGGCCAGATAGTACAAATGACCAGGACTATAAGATCCCATATTTCTCTTGCCGGCTACTTTGGCGCGATCAATACATCCAGGTCGGTCGTAGCTCATAGGATCGCATTCCGCATTGTGATGCCTGCAACTATCACATGGTCTTTGTCGGTCACAGTTTCTCCCAGCCTTTTCACATTGCTTGCAGACCTTGAACGGGGTGAAGTGACCAAAACCAACCCTGCTCAAATCGTAGATCGGACACTGTTGAAAAACATCACCTTGGAGGACCAAACAGTCAATGCCAAACTGCGTACAGCGCTCACACGCGTAGTCTGGCTGGAACCACATGACCAGACAAGAAACACCTCTCCCAGATGTCTGGCACGCCTGACACGGCTTTCTCCAAGATGTGACCGTTGTCACTTCAGCATATTCATGCCATTTCACTTTCCTGTCCGGGTTTATCCCACCTTCTTCCTTCTCGAACTTGGAGCGTATGTCCCAGGTTGAGGGCATGGGCCTTTGAGAAACCAGGGCGACAAGATTTCCAAGGTCTAGACATGGTGCCCCGTTCTGTTGACATTGTCTACAGGCGTGGTTGCCCTCCCACTGTCTCCTGTCGGTGATCCAGCTACAGCAGTCGTCTCCCTTCATCTCACCGAACGTCTTGTGACGCAAGAGACAGCGATCGCAGGGATGTCGGAACCACGGTCGACGTGTGAGCTTGTTTGGCCGTCTCACGGGCATCACGGATTTGCTAACATGGCAGCTCCCGGATCGTCGACAATTGGAGCAAAAATAGCCTAGTATCGTATCGACATCGCACGTTTCTTCCCAACCATATCTGGAACAATTGTCGCAAGACTTCTTAAGATATGCTAGAGGATCACGATTGCCGTACCTTTTGTAATTGAAGTCGATCAAGGCTGTTATGGGGCCTGGAACACGACACATATGGTCGCCTGCTTTGGCGAGCTCTGTGTGATCCTTGGTTCGAGAGCGATAGTTGGCACAGTTGCTGCATTCTCTGTTATATACCTCGGGGCCACCGTTGGGAATCTGTTCCCAGTCACAGATCTTGTTGTTGGCATAGACCTCCTTTCCCTCAGGGTGGTTAGCACAGAAGTCGCAAATCGTCCCTCGAGTGGCCAGTTCATGGTCTTCTCTCTTGTGATGCACGAGAGACTTGCCTGCGTCGGCTTCCTCGGCGTCATCGCCCTTGCCTTTCTTCTTGGGGCCAATTGGTCGCTTTTTGGGCTTCTTTGGCGGCCTGGGATCTTCGTCATCATCGTCCTCCTCATCGATATCTGCTTTCCGTTTCCTGGTTCTCTGGGGCTGTCTTGACGGAGTTGACGTTGTGTTTGGAGTTGAAACGGGGATTCCAGAATTGTTGGCACTACCTCCCTCGGCGCCAGATGCGCTTGGTACAATATTTCTCGTCCTTTTCGGAGCGGGCGCCATAGTATTTGGAGAAGCTGCCCGGCCTCTCTTTATGCGACCCCCTGTAGATGGGGCAGCAGGCAATGGCTGAGGAGGAGGGGGAGGAAGGGTATGACCTGGAGTAGGGTAGCCCCCGTTGGGATGACCTCCATTGGGATAACCTGCAATGGAATGAGGTCCATATTGTTGTTGACTTTGAACAGACGCAGGTTCAGCATACACATAGGCATCGTTTGCAGTATAACTCGAAGCAGGGCCAGCCGGACTGAAAGATCCAGAACATAGAGCTATATATTCAGCAGCAGAAAGACGAGATAGATCTATTCCCTGGAAAGGGTTGTACCCATGCCACGAAGCTGGAGCTGGAGCTGGAGCCTGAGCCTGAGCCGGGATTGCAAGATGTGGTGTCTGGTGCATATTTTGCATTTGAGATGTCTGGTTCCTCTGGCTCATTGCATCCGGCTGATTTATGTGGTGTATTCGGTACATCGGGTGCTCTTGTGGCATCGGGTGCTCTTGTGGCATCTGGGGCATCTGGGGCATCTGGGGCATCTGAGGCATCTGAGGCTGTTGAGGCTGTTGAGGCTGTTGCTCCCAAGGGGCAACGCCAGCGTTCGGTGCGAAACCAACCTGACCAGGCTCGATGAAATCTGGATGGCTCAACCTTTGATTCCGCCAAGGTCTCTGTATCCCATTACTTTGATTCTGATGATGGCCTGAATTTTGAACCTGATAGTCGGTCTGATTCTGGTTCTCATCTTCAGGAGGGTCCTGGAGGTAATAGTATTCCGACATGTTGTTATAGGCTTGAGAAATGAATCGCTACTGTTCACCTGTCGATGAATCATACGGTACTCTGAACTTATGGACTTTGTTTGTAAGTAGTTGATGACAGGTAGTTAAAACCAAAATGTGCACTGAGAGTCAGTGTGTCAAAGACGGACTATACAACAACACCAATAATAGAAACAATGAGAGTCCTTTCGACAAGAATTGATTTGGAATGTAAAGAATGAACATAGGTGGCCCAAGACTTGGGCTGGTGTTCTCGTTCTTATCAACAATATGTTCCATGACCCAAGTCTCGGATCCTTTGTTCCACACATCTCAACCAACGTCGAGCGTCTTTGTTCAAGTAATCTCCCTCGACTACGCAGGGCATATTTATTGCTCTTTGATACCCCATTTAGTTCCCTTAGTTCTATTATTCGTCTAGTGGCATCGAGTGTCCATTCATTCTCGACTGATACACAAAGAACTTGAGAAGAATTAGGCAAAGTTCGTAGATGGGACACACCCCTGAGAATAAATCCATTGCCATCTCTAACCAATAGAACTTGTCCGTGGGCCTCTTTTTGTCTTGACGGGTTTGCCGAGGCTTGACCATTGTGATATGCTGAACTCATCAGATGGACCTCCCGAACAGAATCTGATTCTTTGTTGACATCTCTATTCACCGACCGAACGGGCCAGTGCTTTTTTAAGACGGCCCTTTCATCACCAGCGTCTGCAAAATAGTAAGGCTGGCTCCCCCTTGGTCTGAGTGTGGGCGCATCTCATGAGCCTAGAAGTTAGGGAATAGCTTCAACTAAGAAACGCCGCTCTACCAATAAGGATACAATACGAAATTCTTGCTTTTGTATCTACACATACTCTTCACATCATGCCTTTGTGCTCTAGGCGACTAGCCTCCCACAGGCGTCCTAATCGTTAATGCTTTTCGCTATGCCTTCCAAAGAGTCCATCCCGTTTTCCCGTCAAAGAAACGCTCAATTATCCTCGATTAACCCCAGTATACATACATATCTAATGGTCTTCACTTCAAATTCCCCAACAGTCCATCTTGTCCTTCTAATACCAGCTAGATGCCATGTCAAGAAGCGAGAGAGCACTAAGCCCGTCTGCCCATTTGCACTTAACACCGAACCTCCACTATTCCCTTATTAAATCCATAACCCCGCCTAACCGGAGAACTGGAAGCGCGTGGCTTCGAGCTGACCGAGTCCGTCGCGGGGTGCCACATTTCGTCGTCTGTAAGTGTTGGTGAAATCTTGCAGAATCGCGCGCACATTCTTCATGGCGCTGGGGTCTCCCGACTCAAGCCTCTCCTTGATTTTGATTAGGAATCTGTTGGCCTCGGCCGGGGAAACAGTGCCCTCTGGTAGTAGCTGTATTGTATGGGAGACCCATTGATGAGTCTGGAGAGGAACCAGCTCAAACAAAGCCAGCAGAACACCACTGCCATCAGCGAAACAGTCACGGGGGAAAGTGATCATCATGCCCGCCATGACCTGCTTGACCAAACCCTCACCAAGAGTAAGTAGCAGGTTCTTGACAATGGCCTTGACCTCAGCAGCTGTTGCCTCCGGGAGTCTATCGCTACTAGCAGGGTTATCGCCACCGTATGACAAAAGATCACGGAGGAAATGCAGCGTTGAGGACAGAGGGTCGCGCTGCTCTAGAGTTAGAGCGTAGATGGACGCCTCAAAAATAGACCTCAGCAGATGAGATGGAATAAGCTTCTGGGGGTAGTAGAGAAGGGCATCGATCAGAAGGCGGAAGAAATCATCAATAACATCGGGAAGCTCCTTAGGTTGTAGTTCCGTCATGACTCGGAGGAAGGTCGTTGTCTGAGCTTCAAAAAAGGTGTAGATGTTCTCCGTAGTGGCTTGATCAACGTGCTCTCGTGCTTCAGAGAACTCGCGCAGGATTGCTGAAGTCACCCACAAGAAACATCCTTCCCTTGAGTTGTTGAAGCCGCCAGCAAGCTTGTTTGCCATTTCTGGGAGCAAAGGTGTCATGGCTGTGCGGTGGGCAATGACCATATTGCGCCAGCACCTGCAGACGCGCTCGCAGATGGGAGTGAAGTTCAAGAAGTTGTCCAGTACGGTGGAAAGGATGGGGAAAACCTCCTGCCAGTACTTGACAGCAGGGTTCTCCTGACCTGGGCTTACAGGGGGCACGACGTACTGAACAAAGATAGTGATGAGTTGCAGATGATCTAAACAATCCTTAGTCTTGCATGATGAAATGAATTCGAGCTTGCTTACCTGCGAGCGCCAATTTGCCCTCCTCGTCTGTAGCATTGTTGGCTTTGGTCATCAAACGCTGAATCAATGGGTCGCAGTACAGCTTGAGCAATCGGTAAATCTCCTCCGTGGGCTGGCAAGCCACAACGTTGGCAACACCTTCTGTGATCTCTTCCTTACTCAAGTCAGGGAGCTTATCCAGCACTTCATCGTAGAAGGTCTGAAGCTGCAGCACTTGGCCACTCAGGAGGTGTTTGCAATCTGTACAGAAGAACTTGATGGCCAAGGCAGCGGCGCGGATGATCTCCCTGGAATCCGACTGGAATGATGTGACGATGTAGTTGAATTGAGGCTCGAGATATTCCGGATGGGCAGCCGTCCATTCAGTATAGCGGCCGAGGACCATGATAGTTGCGAAACGAAGCTTCTCGTGGCTGGGCATCTGTACAAGGAGAGGCATGAGCTGGCGAAGAACAATACTCTCATCCTTGTCCACCATGCGACCAAGAGCGCGCATAGCAAATAGAGGCGCCTCCAGCTCCTGCCAGTGAGGTACCGAGTTGTCGTTCACTTGGTTAGCGTACTTTGACATCCACAGCTGGATTGCTTGGAGAACCTTGGTGAGGCAGTCCGTAACGCCCATCACCTCGCAGCAATCCTTTAGTGTGTCGCCCATCTGGTGTCGAAACTCCCTGAATTTCTCCTCCTGCTCACGATCTCCGTCGAATAGATCAGTTTCATTACCCGAGTCCGGCTTGGGGTATTCGAGGTGCTTTAGAAGAATGTCCACCAGCTTGGAGTAGACGTCAACCAGCTCAAGTCGACCTTGAATATAAATCTCCAACACAAGATAGAGCTTGAGCTCGTACCAAAAGTTGAAGGTATGTTCGATAACATCACGCTCCTTGTCTCTCAAAGCGCATTCCAGTACAGCATCAACCAGTGGTCGGAAGTGTGTAGGTTGGCGGGCGATTCCAACGACCCAACTCTCTGCGGCAGTTGCAAACACCTTAGTCAAAGCCTTGAGTGTCTCTGTGTCATCCTCCTCAGCTGCCTTCGCCACTTGGGGCTTCAAGGAGATGATTCGCGGAAATAGTAGCTCGATTATCTCCTGACTCTCGTCCACGTCGCTAGTCTCTCGAAGCATGGTGCACAGACACTCGGAAGCCTCCTGGCTGCAATTATCGCTAGTTGTGCCATTGAAAACAATATCCATTAGAGGCGACTTGACAACATTGCCAACTGGGACCTCTCGGAGCCAGGAAGTAATACACTCCATCAACTGAGGGTTCTGAGCGGCTGCGGCTGTGACAGATGTCAGTATCTTGGCAGTGGGGGAAGGTCGCACAACTTACGCGAGGACTGAGAATAGTTGATAAGGAGTTGGACGACCTGGTCTGCATTATCGGCCAAGAGAGCCTGCGTTCGCATCGCAAGATCTTCTTCCTAATTCCAAACAATTAGACTTGAACTGGTGTTGAGGTCGACCGGATTTGACGATCTCGAAAGAAGCGAATTCCCGATCTATGGTTGCGCGATCCACGTACAGACAAGGTGATCTTTCGACCCTCGGTAACTTCTTCAGGGAGAACCCTCAGGAAATCCAGAATGCAGGCGTGGCTCTCGGGGCTATCACTAAGCGACTGAACGACGGAAGGCAGAACATCGTTCCAGTCCTTCATTTGAATCGCTAGAATGGCCAGACACACACAGAGCTGGACTCGGATAGGTTTGGGTCCCGGGGCGAAGTGCTTTAGAAGTAAGAGGATTTGGTTTCGAAGGGCGGGCAGCTCGCTAGCAGGGACTTGGGTAGAGAGGTCGTATGTGATCTAGAAGGGGGAAGTTAACAATGAGGCCGAGGCGTATGTCACAAGCTTCAAACCTTTCCACGTAGGGTAATGGCCGCAAAGAGGGTTGCCTCTGGTTCGGCATCAGACTGCAGAATACCCATTATAGTTGCCCATGAATCCTTCTATACATATCCAACGTTAGTAACCTAGCCGTATACTGAACAGCTTCGCGCGACGCACCGATTTCTGAAACCTCTCCAAGTACTCGTGGGCATGCTTCTTGGCCTCTTGCTCCCCACTCCTCATAGTCATAACAGCAGCCAGCACATCAGGCGGCGCAAAAGCCTCCTGGGCTCCGTTCGAAGCCATTATGGATTGAAGGGCGAGCAGGGGGATATCAGAGTCGAGTATCGGTGTATATGACTATGATGCGCACGATCGACCCTCGTGAGTAGCGGCGCATGCAAAGGGGGGCAGCAGTTGGGATCGATGAGGCTCCTATGAATCGCGAAAGAAAACTTGGACGAGAGTATAGGCCGAGAGAACCGGCTGAGAAGGAAGGGAAGAATAGAAGTAAAGTACGAAGCCCCAGAAGGCAAACAAGTCCTGAAGTTCAAGAGAGCAGGTGATTCAATGACCTGGCTAAAGTTTGTTTAAGGTCAGGATAAGTGCCTAGAAGTATTTACGACTCTTAGGTTGCTCGTCATGGCCATGGCGGGGCAACCGCCCGGATATTAACCGACATCTTCAGCTTGACTAACATGACATATGAACGAAAGATATCTGCAACTCTGGTATCATTAACAACAGTTAATAAATACAAAACACAAACTTTTTTATTCATGGCACCTGCCAACATAGCTTCGTGTTTGTGCTGAGAATAGGTAGTTTGTCAACTATCTGAACAACAGAGCTGACATCTATTGTACCTACACCTGGGAACATCACGTGGCCCCCAATCTTGTTCCAGGCCTTT